GTTCCGGTGGAAGTGGGGGTTCCGACACTTTAACGGGTAATTCCTCCTTATCACTGGGTAGCTCGACTTTGACGGTAGACTCTGATAGACTACTTTCTTCTGGGAGAGAAGGAAGCGACGTCGATGGTTTGCGATCTGAGTCGACGTCGTCTACTGTCTTTATGTTCGTTATCTTCACTGTGGAAACTTTCTGAGGCTCAGTTTCCTTAGATGGAATAGGCAGAGAAGGTTTTCCGAACACCGACGAGGATTCTTTTGTCTGAGTGTCTGGTGTAGATTTAGGTTGATATGGTGCACCAAATAAGCCTGTGGTTGGGGTAACCACATCTGGAGCTTTTTGCGGTTCTGGAGCCGTTTGAGAGAAGGTTGGTGGAGAAATTTTGGCAGGCCCAACATGTTGTGTTTCAGTCGTCTTATCAAAGTTCATCAGATTAGCCAAGGAAAACGCCCCCTTCGTTTCTTCTGGTTTGTCTTCATCCATCGTAGTTGATGTTGTATCAGGTTTAAATCCTGAGCTTAAAGTGAATCCTCCAAATGGAGATGCTTGAGACGCTGCGGACGACGGTGCTTGACTTCCTGCACTACCGAAAACGGGCTGCCCAGCTTTCGCAAACGGATTGTCACCAGCAAAATTCTTTGAAAAGGGGCTTTCTCCAGAAGGCTGCGCAGAGCTAGCAGCAGCAGCAGCGAAGCCTCCGCCAGATGCAAATGAGCTAAAACCTCCACCAGAACCGCTTGGTGGTTGAGTGGGGAAACCACTTGTAGTAGAGGAGGTAGCTGAAGCACCTAATCCCCCAAAACCAGATTGCCCAAATGAAGGTGTAGCAATAGATTTACCCAGGGGGGAAGGCTGTCCGAACCCATACGTCCGTTGACCTAACAGACTTGGGGTACCAAACGACGGAGTAGTCGAACCGCCTAGCGCAGAAGCGGTGCCAAAACCACTGACAGCAGGTGTCTGGCTAGACGATTGAGGACTGGCCCAAGAAGGCTGCGAACCAAGAGCAGATGGGGTTCCAAAAGTAGGCTGGCGATTCGTTCCTAGGGTTGAAGGGGTGCCAAAATGTGTTGCTGGAGTTCCAAATGACGACTGTCCAAATGAAGGCTGCCCAAAAGAAGGCTGTCCAAACGATGGTTGCCCAAAAGTTGGTTTGGGAGTTTGAGGAGCCATAGTGGATGAGGAAAGTGGGGTTTGCTGTTGTTGTGATAGTTGGGTTTGGGTTTGTTGGGCTCCCCCAGCATGGACAAGGCCATGAAAAGGTACGCTCTGCCGAATCGACTCGGAGTACACGAATCGCCAGGAAGACAACACGCCATCATTGTTGAGGACGAGAATTTCTGGTAGAGGAGACCCAGAATCCTGTATCTCTTCCCCCGGAATAGGAGCTACAACTATATCTTTACTTGATAAATCAATTGCAAGTCCAATTGGAGAGGTGTTCTCTGAATCATCTGTCAGGGGTAGTTCTGCTCTTCTGGAATCTTCAGACATCGTGGTAAGTGTGAATGCATCAGTGACGGGTGTGCCCCCTTCCTCACACAGAGGCTTGCTAGATTTGGTGAAAAGGGCTATATCTGTTGACGCAGTCGAAGACACGATTAAAACATCTTTCAAGTCAGGCTTGAAGTCTCTGAGACGGCCAATGAATTGATACGCAGGGTTGCGCTCCAAGCCCCATGGTGGACAGGCCTCAGGTAGCTTTTGGAAAGTGTAACTATCTGGAGGTTGGCGAGTTACGATGTAGTAGGACGATTCTGGTTGGCTATCCAGTGCAGATGTTGGGGTATAAACAATGAAAAATACATTATTCTCGAGCCACGAGATAGAAGAAACTATTTCCACCCATATTAGTCAGTGAAGATAATAGCTACATAAACGCAGCGGCGAGCATGTACTAACCATGCTTATCTCCATCGAGATTTGGGGGTCTTGGCACCTCCGCCTTCATTTCTCCCGCGGGTGTCATTTGGAACGCAGTGCCGTCTCCTAGGCCAGCTACTAATTGCTTTCCTTTATTACTCCACGAGATGCAACTTACACCTGTTTTCAGAACGAGACCCGATGGGCCCTGGAGAAGTTGATTACTTTGCAAATTAGCCATCAACAGTTCGCCATCCGTAGTTACCACAGAAAATAACTCCGCAGCCGTAGGGTTAGGAACTAGCGAGCGCAACCTCGCGCCGTTCAAAGCAAGAGTGAGCGCTGGCTGTGAGTTGCCTTGCATCAACGCAGCAACCTGGTAAGCAATCAAACCGCTACCATCTGCAGCGGCTACGACAAGTACATTCTCATCAGCGGAAAAAGCTAAATGCGAAGCCTTCTGTGGTAGCGGAATTTGTAGCTGGGGTTGAAATGGCCTGATATTACTGTCTCCGGTGCGGTCTGCGGAATATGCTTTTCGTACGGCATCTGTGCTTGCAATCACAAGACCATCAGGCCCTGCGGCTGCAAGCAGGCCTTTTGTAGATGCGACGCTCAACAAAGAGCAAGTGGGTGGGGGGAGGGAATCGCTTGGCCAAGGAGTGGGGAATAGGCGAATTTTCGAGTCTCCGGCAATAGAGAGGAAGCCAACCTCCTGGTCAAACATGTAAATGTTAGCCATACCATTCAAACACAAGGTCGAAAAAGAAGGCAGAAGAATATTTATATATAGATAGATGCGCCATACATGGTGTCTGAAGTTCTACATACCTGGGTCTGGATTTCCTGGAGCTCAGGACCGAGCTGCACTTTAGCCGCTTGACCTCCGCCAAAGCCAGGGCCTTGCTGGGAGGCAAAGGCCATTTTGAGCAGCTGGAAGTCAGAGACGGCACGGGGTTTGGAATCTAGAGAATACCTCGGCTTTGGGGCATTGAGAACTGGATGGGCGGCACGCAGATTGATAAAGGAGCGATGTCGAAGTGTGCCGGGACTCCGATTAAAGAGCTGGAGAGTTGGTCCGAAAATCTTGCTGGCGCGTGCTTCCCCAAAGGCGGAGGGGAAAGAGATGAAAAATGGAGAGGAGAAATGCACGCTGGCTGAACTGGAGGAGATACGCTATGGGATTAGACCATACCTATTCACAGGCGTGGGTAGAGAGGTGGGGCGCAAAGAAGCATATGTATGTGCAGCGTTGTGGAGTACAAATAGATACGTGCTGTTGTAGCTGTTATCGTTGAGGCTCTTGCAAGTAGATTTTCCTTATGAGTGAAGAGGTTTGAACGTGATTGGTCGACCCATGCGCGACCCAGGCAAAGGTCAAGCTTCGTCAAGTTGCTAGACTTAAGAGGAACATCAACCCTTAAACCACGTACAAAAAGGACATCTATATCTACACACTGCGACACTGGACATACTAATTGCTTGGGGAAGCTTCTGTCCTTGTTTTCTGACTATACTCTATTTCGACTACTGGAGATACTGCCTTCGTCCCTTTCCCACCGCAACCACCACTTCTCTGCCCTGCTTTCGTGAGCCTCCACCCTCACCATGCCAGGCTTCGATTTCTCCAACTACAACCGCAATGTTGCTCTGCATGCAAAGGGCGTGCCTCTTCCAAAAGCTACCAGCACAGGTACAACTATCGTTGGATGCATTTTTGACGCGGGCGTTGTGGTAAGCCTGTGCTGACCATCAGAGCATCCTCGTGCTCTAACCACCAACTAATACTGGGCTGGTTCCGATATACAGATTGCAGCCGATACCAGAGCTACCAGTGGACCCATCGTCGCTGACAAGGTACTTACCCATTCATGCGAAGTCCATGAACTGTAATTTTAAACTCTCCACGCGCGTGTTATATCTGTTTTACCTGTCGAACCATTGTCGCCATGCTCCGACCAATCGCGCACTCCCCATAACTACGTAAAAACTAACCCCCATATTCCAGAACTGCGAAAAACTCCACTACATCACTCCAAAAATCTGGTGCGCTGGCGCCGGCACAGCAGCAGACACAGAATTCACCACAGCCCTCATGAGCTCCAATCTGGAACTGCACGCCCTCTCCACAGGCCGCTCCCCGCGCGTCGTCACCTGCTTGACCATGCTGAAACAGCACCTGTTCCGCTATCAGGGCCACATTGGCGCTTACCTCGTCGTCGCCGGTGTCGACCCAACAGGAGTTGGCCTGTACACCGTCCACGCCCACGGCTCGACAGATAAACTCCCCTACGTGACCATGGGCTCCGGCTCGCTGGCAGCCATGTCCGTTTTCGAGACGATGTGGAAACCCGAATTGAATAAAGATGAGGCGGTGAACTTGTGCTCTGAGGCGATTTTGGCGGGTATCTTTAACGATTTGGGATCAGGGAGTAACGTTGATGTCTGTATTATTTACAAGGAGAAGCCGACTCAGCTGCTGAGGAATTTCATTAAGCCGAATGAGAGGGTGAGGAAGGAGAGGACTTACCGGTTTGCTAAGGGGACGACGGCGTGGCTAAATCAGAAAGTCATTACCAAGGCGGAGATTAGGAGGTATATCACTGTGCAGGAGTTGGAGGGTGAGGAGCCTGTTGTTGTAGAGAAGATGGATGTGGATTCTTGATTTGAGTATCCCTTTTTATGATATACCTTTGTTTCAGTAGAACGATTAGTGTTTTTTTTTTTACCTCTTTACACGTCTCCTTAAACGAATGTGTTCCTTATTTTACTTTCGAAGGCCCTGCCTGTCTTCTCCCGATCAAGCGCTCGTTCAATGAAATGGGATGTTTCCCACAGTGACATGATAGAAAATTCAAAACATAAAAGCAAATTGATCTACTTCAGCTAAAAAGTTGACGAGTCACGAATCTGACGTAAATATTTCTATATTCTCGATTTAATGTAGCAAAGTCATGTTTTAGAATAGTAGCCACTCCATATGGGAAAAGAGGTAGAAAGACTTCCAACACTGAAAATATTAGTATAAAAACCCCTTGCGTATTACTCCAAATGTAAAACGCCATCTAAAATCACAATTCTTTATCTACACTCAACATTTCCAGAATTTCTCCCATCAAAGTAACAAAGCCAGCTCAGCTCATGCTATCTCCACATCCATAAGCGCTTTCGCAACAGCTGCCCCCTCCGCCTCTGCAACCTTCTTCATAATAAACGCAAACTTAGGCTTAGACACCGGCTGTCCCGCCTCACGATACCGCGTGACCCCAGCCTGGTAAAGCGCCCTTGCTAATACGGGAGCCACGGGCCCATGGTGCTGGACAATGAATAAATACACCCATTTTGTTAGCCGCCAGGAGGACGTCGGTGACACTGTTGTTGTGCATGAGAACACAAGGGCAAGAATATGTAGCATGCGCAGGCATTCGGTCGGGTTGGGGTACAAACACGGATCCGGCGGTGGAGAACCAGGCTCTGTCGGGGGGTACGGTGTCGTGGCTGATTCCTGCCAACAGCGAGATAGGGCAACTTTCAAGGGTGTGTGGCGACGGAGGAGGCGGAGAATGGCGCTGCGGGGAATCGTGCCGGATTCTGTGTAGGAAATGATTTGGCGGATGAAGGAAAGGGAGGTGACGTCCGTGGTCTTGGCGAGTTGGTTGAATGTTGAGTATAGCGTCGCGCGGTCTCGAGAGTATATGGGAAAGTACGGGAGGATTTCTTCTATGGATTTGGGGCTGTGGGTTGGATCGAGGAGTTTAGTTTTTATCGCGGGGTCGAGGGATTGTGGGCCACCAGAGTGACCGTTTTGTTTGTTCCAACGGAGTTGCTTTTGTGCTTTAGCGAATTCGATGTCTGCGGCGTTTGATAGCACAAGGTCTGTGGCAGGCAGGTTGCGAAGACAAGAGCATTGAAGGTATATTCGTAGTCGAGTGAGGATATCTGTTCCCTTGAATGGGCCCGACGTTCGATCAAGGTAGGATAAGAGACGCCGGAACACGTTCTTTCGGCGGAAGTCTAGTATCGAATAACTGTTTGTCGTGTGTCCAAGAACTGCCACAACCCACAAATGAAGCAAATGCCTATGGCGATTGGAAACGTTTAACCCATTCTTGTCTAAAAGTGGTAAAGCCAAAGTCGAAGCGGATTCAAGGTTACGCCTTGAAGTAGCACTAAATAATACCAAATCGTTGTCGAGTCGACATAATACCCAGTACCAAATGCTCAGGGATTGGTCTCTCCATTTGTTATAAATTGGTGAAAATATTAGTAGTTCGGTTATTCTTATGATGTGCGCGATAGCAGCCTCCGGGGAACATGCATCTAGAAGTGACTTTGTGTAGCTTAGGATGCCGTGCAACTCGTCATTGATCATATCTATCTTCGCTGATTCCGGGACTGCGGCGGCGGTATGGACAACGCGGCGCAGAAGAACGTCTGTTATTAAATTAAAAACAGACGTTGATGAGCCATCCCATGCGTGAATAACGTCCATGCACAGCTGGGACAAACTGCCAGGCGGCGACGCTTTTAAAAGTTCATCCACCCATAAAGCCATTGTTTCTCTGTCAAGATCACGGGGAGATAAAACAGAAGATGACTCGAGTCCATCCCAAACAGCTTGATAACATATTGCGACGTCCCCCCAATTGGCTTTTCCAATCGTGCTTTTTCTGTGCCCCAGGGTTTTTGTTTTAATTGAAGGTATAAGCTTGATGATTTTGCTAACCTCTTCCACAGGAACAACACCTAGCATGATGGAACGTTTCAGAAAACGGAAATGAGCATATAAACGAGATTTCCTTTCGGTATGCAGAACGCAATGTTCGACCAAAGTCACGTAGTTCTCCGCTGAAGGAATATTCAAGGAAGCATCACTGAAAAAGCCGTGCAGATCGTCCATATCCCATCTCCTAGACCGTCCGCTTCGGTTTTGAGCGAGAAGGATCTCAGAAAGCACAGTTCGGCTGATGAGAGGTTGTCCCCGCGGGTCGATGCCCAAAGCAAAGATGCGTTTCTTGAACTCGCTTAGAGAAGCAGACTCCCGTACTGAGGAAGATAAGTGCATCTTAATAGAATTGTAATCCATATGAGAAGTCGAAACAGGATTGTCAGGAAGAGAAGCGGGTTTCAAAGTATCAGGTGCACTTTCAGCGAATGGCAGCGAAACCAGAGGCGGAACGTTGTGTAGATATGGAAAAGTCTCTGTGCTTTACATTAGTTTTCGGTGTATATAATCAGTATTAGCAGTCGTGTCTGCCATACCTTGGGCTTGCAGGGACCACGGTCGCGACGCAATTAACTGGGGCTCCTGATTTGGTTGCGAGGGCTTCCCAAATAGAATTGCGGCTTCTGTTGCGGACGGGGGAAATCCCATGGAGGCCAATGCAGCATGTTTCCGCTTCGAAAGCCTTTTTTGAGCCTCGAGAGGCCCCGGAACAGAGCTCCCATATCGTTTATGGTGTCTTACGAATCGAGAAAACCCCTCAGAAACCAAGTCGTCGCTGATCCAGATATGGTCTGGTCTGGCAGTACTGTGCTGCTGAAGAGCTTGATAGAGCCTATGTCGACATCGAGACATGAGACCACACAGTATGGACTGTCATATATGCAATTGAACTGCGGCAAAGCTAGTTGAGTTCTCTGGGATGCTGTAAAGTGCGAATGCCGACGCCGACGTTGGTTTTCATCAAATCTACTCAAGGAGCTTGTGAAATCGGCTTGGCATGATGACTCAGCTTCGTTCCAAAGTTCCTGTGTTGCGCTCCAGCGAACATCTTATATTGAGGGAGAGAGAAGAAATGAAATAAGGTCATAATGCATTCAATCGATAATCTATGAAAATGTAACCAAAAACTTCCATGCCATATCTGAGATCTCCATATAATGATATTTAATGCTGAATTCCCGTGACCTCCCACTCCATGAGTCAGACCGTCGTATGTGTCTAACTGGTTCCGCGTCCTCTACGTGTATGGACATCTGCCTCTCCAAAGTGTTTGAGGAATCTCCCCCAAACTGCCGAGCCGTCCTTAATTCCAACTGCGATAGGCCACAGAACCCTTGCGGCACCGTCCTCAAAGCCAATGGGGCATCCATCATCCCGCTGATATTCGGGTGCAGCGCTCATATAGCCCGGATCAACTGTATTCATAGCAATTCAATATGTGGTCCACATAGGCGCTGCCTCCGTTTCGGTTATCATATTAATGGCAGTTTTGGACATGTTGGTATGGACGTGTCGACCCATCTTGTGACTATGATTCGGCGTTTGCTCAAACAGTCCCTCCCGCAAGGAGACGTTAATGATGTATCCACGTGGTTTTGCAGGATTAGAGCGATGGGAGGTGCTGCCATATAACCCGGTAGTGATAGGCGCCGTGGGTGATCTTAATGTGGCTCTGCCTCCTGCAATCATGAGGGGCAGTAGCTCGCGGCAAAGAATGAGAGGGACGAAAGCATTGACCGAGTGAGCACTTATCATATCTTCGTATGGTATCTCTTGCAACGTTTAGGTCCAAGATGATTTGCCATTATCTTCTTCCCCACTGATATCACCACAGAGGCCCTTCTGCGGAGGATGTTTAACTTGTTCAAAACCATTGTTGCCGTTCACTGGCGCCCCTTCTAGTAGGAATTGGCTATGTCCTTCAAGTCTAGCGAACCATGAAAGTCCCATCCCTCCTCTTACTCTTGCTTCATATCCTGTATCATTATCCACCAAAAGTCTTCCAGTTCCACTCTGCGTCTGCAGGATATCTTCCTTGTTGACTGCCCTGGACTCTGATTTTAAGGGATCGGTGAGTGTTTGCGCGGCATTATTGATCAGTATATTCAACCCTTCAAACTTTGATCATTGTTTGATTCATCTTTCCATTACGATAACACCTTTTGGACGACTCGGACTAGCCGAAATGCATCTTTGGCACTTCTAAAATCTGCTCCGACAATCTTGAGTCGTGGAGCCCGGCTTTCGAAGTCAGGTTCCTCCTGGTACTTTATCTCGGCGTCTCGGGGATAACGAGTTGATGCAATGACTCTTGCACCACATCTCAGGAGCCGTAGAACAGTATGATAGCCTAGATTTATGCGTCCAGCAGTTACAAGCGCCGTAATGCCTTCCAGGTTGAGATGTTCTGGTAGGGAAGCTTCTGAGCCAGCGAGGTTAAAGCTACCGCATGGGCGGCAGAGCGATGGATATAGACGATGGCTTTCCGAAACCCTGAAGCGACAGATGTAACACTTTCGTCTCCTCCATTTAAGCCATTCCGGTGAGCTGGCCTGAGACATAGATCTGTATTTAGACCTGAGGCCTGGGTCGAGTGAGAGCTGTGCTTCAACAGCAGAGACTATATCTGCCAGTGAACTCAACGATGTCAAATGGGTCATTGAGCTGTGGTCCTGCAGGTAGTCCAGCACCTTCAATGTTGCGTCAAACTCGTGTGTTGATGGAATGATAGCTGATGTTTTCAGTTGGTTTTCACCGTTCAAACCAAAACCACCCTGGCCCATTTGGCTCAGATACGCCTTTATGGATTGTCTAACCGATTCATATCGCAGATGTCTAACTTGCTTGAATCCTTCATCTCCTAGCCCATTGTTGGGATGCAGATGGATCGATATTGAATTTCCAAGGTGCGAGGTTGCCGGAGGGAGATACCAAGCCAGAATACTTGGGATGGCATTGTTTTTGCACAACTCCTTATCACGCCGGATGTGCTCTGCAATCGCGGCAGCATCCTGCAATTCAAGAAATCGATGGCATTCCGCTCCAGATCTCAACATTTTATAAAACTGGTTCTTTTATTGCTGTCTTTCCTTTCCAACAGATAATTGCGTAAAGGAGAAAACGATGTAGAACTTCAACAGGCATCTGGCTAGAGATGACTCAGGTCCATCAGCTTGCTTTCCGGGCGCGCATCGCATTGAGGGCACTTTCATTCGTAGCGAGAGGAGGCTGCTGAGGCAAAAACTAACTGGATGCTTTCTAGTAAAAAAGCCACGGCTGGGGATGCAGCCTCAGGAGAACAAGGCGGTGATATTATTGTGAATGAGTCACTGCGCTTCATAGTCAATATTTGTGCAAGTTGGTGACCCTCCTGTGATGTATACTCATCCAGATTGTAAAAGAGAGTCAACTATTCATCGGCCCAAAAATTACACAAAATGGTAAAGAATTCGAAATTGCGCCCGTCAGCAAGGTTGATTCAGTCATTGTCCAGCACAATCCCAACTGAACTGGTCCATCAAATCTTCGATGACCTGACAATCTATCACATCCTCGTGCTGGCAGCGCATGATGACCCATATCTGAACCAGCGTATCTTCTCATTCCTGGTGTATAGAAAACTGCTCGCAACACAAGAAGATTTTCTAGCCCTCAATCGATACTTTAAGGTCTACACCGACATATACAACCTTCTGCAGCTACCCAAATCTCCAGTAACGTCACCTTTAGCGACTAGCATATCAACGCAGCATGAACCGTTTCTAGGTCCCCTAAAGGAATATCTGCATCAAGAAGTATTTGCCCGACTTAGTGTTTCAACCCAATTCCTCTCACTGCTCGAACCATTTGCCCAGAATAAACTGAAAATATCAACTCACTTCGTAACCGTATCCGGCCTTCAGGGATTCTGGAGGGCTGTCCTATATGCTCAAGAGCAACTCAATGGCACCAAGGCAGTGCAGCTAAGACGAATGGCGGATATCTGCGAAACATACCCGGACCTAGTCTGCAAAGCGACAGATAACCGCCAGACGCGGGTAAAAAATGTCGGTCACATTATTCGCCGTTTTCGCACGGATGCGGAGAAAGCCTCCCGCACTACCGTTTTGCGGATGCGCAAGTACCAAGTTAAGGGTTTACCTTCGGGCTGGCTATTTTGGCCCAAATTGGTACCTATAGTGCCGCTGGATAGAACTCTGAACTTATTCGTCAAGGGGATAATAGAGTTTCCACCCTCGCCAGATGAGCTGATGTCGTCTCACAAACTCACGAGACACAATAACGACATCGTGGAAGCGATGGGGCTGTTACATATTAATTATGGGAAGCAAAATGAAACATCCTCTGAGAAATTACCCCCAGATTCCAAGTCTCCATCCTCCACAACAGCATATTCATATCATAAGTACCCAACACCAATCATACAAGATATATGTACCACAATCAAGGGGTTCGCGAATGTATACATGCCCCCAGCGGTCAGGGATATATACCCGGCAATAAATGTGCCTCGCATAAAGTACACCCCATATTTCGCGTCGCTGACAGCGCGACTCTCATTTCCAGGAGGTTGGCTGGAGCAAAATGTCATCCAGAATGATATGAACTAAAGGACTATCTCGCAACTGAAAGCTGTAAAGGGAACTCCTCATGACGAAAAGGAGTTTGAGTGGCTTGAGGCATTACTGAAATGCTGCCGGTATTTTGAGAGATTGGGATTGGATTGTTAAACTATCATTTGAATGGTTTTACGCAGGAACCATTTTAGGGAGGTTATGATGGTTTACGAGTTCTACGTCGGTATCTTTTAATGAAAGCTACGGCACGTTCCTATAATACCTTATATATTTTTATGGGTAATTCTCGGATAAGAATGTCTAGGTGAAGATAAGAAAAGTCGTTTGTATGCTGACTCCGCATAGCGGAAGGGAAGCTTGGAGCGTCGTGCTCATCGAATTTTCCATTTTGGAGACAGTCTGTGCGACATTCCTTCAAGCATCGATATGGGACCTGGAGAGACGGATTGAATGCTTTTTTTGTGGTGCAGAAAACCTGTTCAAAGATGTGTAAGAAATGAGCTTCAACAACCAGATTATGGCTGATATTGGTGGAATATAAGGGAAATCATCAAGTAATGTAAAGTCCAGATAAGAGTCACCGATATAGAGAGTTACAAACATAAAAATGGTATCCCACTGTCAAAAAAAAATGGGGGGGTTGAAATGCCAAGATATCAATTTCCAGGCAGGATAAGACTCCTTAATATGCAACAATTAACTAACTCTAGTTAGTTAACGATCTGGAAAAGCTGTGTTGAAAGAAGAGCCAAATAACCAAAATCATCCTTTTCCTTTACCATTATGCACACCTCACTCCCCGCCTCCAATGCGCCTCATAAGGGAATTATGAATTACCTCCCCGATCTATTCGATCTCTTAGACTGGTAAGGTTTCCTTGCGGTGATGACATGGAAGTTGTTATATATGTGGTAGCTCCGATCGTAGAGGCTCTTTCGCACGTCGACAAGAAAAACCTCAATCTGATCTTTTGTCCAGCCCAGCCCACGCGCTCCAAAGGGATTATATGAAAATCCTGACAATCCCATCATCCAATTCATTTGATTCCACGTGCCGATTTTCTTTAACCGGGGGTCTCTGGCCCAGTCTGTGACGGGGACTTTCGTTATGCGCTCATGAACGTCCACGTAGCCAGCCTCGCGCATCCACGCGGATATTTGATGTGCAGATCTGACGGGGCGCGGTGGGTTCATCATCTTAGACGTGGACTTCATATGAAGCGTTATCCAGTTTTGAAACGCATATGGCCCTTTACCCTCGGGATGTTCGGGAGGCACGCTGCCATCATCGCACCGGATCGCGATGTCATAATCGTGGCACTCTATGTATCCCCCTGGTTTCAGATATCTGTACGCTGTGTGGAGGAGCTGGGAAAACGAATGGAGAGAACCCAGCAACATTGATGTGTGTATATAATCGAAGTGGTTCTCGGGCCAAAGCCAGTCAGGTTCTTCTGCATCGTCCACATAAAAATGAACATTTTCGGGTACTTGCGTGGGCTGAACAGGTGAAAGGTCTGTACCAACAAGTTGGGCGCCAGGAAACTTTAAGGCTGTTCAGGTTTCGAACGTGATTGTGAGTATTTGACGATAATAGGTGATTAAACAGCATTACCTTAAGGAAGACGGATACCAGAGAGTTGCGAAAGGAAGATGAAGAACGGCAACGGGATTCACATACCCATTTCGATTACCCAAATGCCTGTGTTGAAATGCATTAGCTCCTGGTTAATACAAACCATAGGCTGGTATAACTACCCTATATCTCCAATTTCAAGTTGGCGTGGAAACATTACAGAAATGGGGCAGTTATGGAAACAGTGTATCAAGAAAAAGAAAAGAAATTTCATACCAGAACCAGTTCCTATATCAAGGATGTGCTTTGGATTTACCAGAGGGGCAAAATATATCCTGCCTTGATTGACTAATTTCAACATTTGGTATTGCAAGTCTTGGCGGTCAAGCTCATCCTCATCGTTAGGGTAGATGTACGCTGAAGGTTTTGTAGATCAGAAATAGAGGTAACTTAAACAGTTGGCAGAAGGTTGGTAAACGCACATCCCTCATGATAACGGTGATATCTCCTTCCGTGAACTATAGGATAATCGGTAACACTCGATGTCAACGAGTGTGTTTCACTGTGATCGGTCAATGCTAAGAACTTGTAGCATTTGAAAACTGGTAGGCCCACTAAAGAGATGCATCTGTTCCAAAGGAACGGTTTGACTAAATGTTGGGAGGAACTTCATTAATAGAGTTGTCGGAAGCATATGACAAATGGGAAAATGAGCCAACTGCGGGATGGAAGGCGTTTCAAGAACCAAGGAGACATATCAAGAGTCTGGGGCAAACAAGAAATATGGCAGATTTAAAAGAAAACATAGTCAAGTCTGCAGGAGGAGAAAGGAATAAGAAAGGAATGATACTCGGCAGCAAATTAGAAAAGGGGGGCCCTACTTCCGGAGTTATAAGTCCGTCTTCCCGAGAGGGGGGCCTCTCCTTGATGGGAGGGCTTTCTGACATTGGAGTTCAATCCTTGCGTAGAGACGAGAAAAATAAATGAAAACAAAAAGTACCAGAAGAAATGCCTTTTCAACGAAGAGATATTCTTTACGTAGAAAATGGTAAATGAATCCAGAGCGTCGGGTCCGAGAGGGTGGGTTAGCTTATAATAAAAATATTGCCAGAAGAGCAGCAGGCAGCGCCAACCCCAACCGCCCCTGGGACCGTACGCTTTCTAGAAGCTAAATTTGGAACTCTTGTTCTCACTAACTCAAAAATGGGTTCATATTAAGATCTCAGGCAAACGTTGAACAACTAGCTACCGTCAAGCTCTCCTGCTGCCAGGCACCGAGGCCCAGAAAAGAAAATCTATGGGTCTCAAGTCCTTAGTATTGCGCCGTGTTAAATGCGAAGAACTGCGTAACGGCACATGTAGGGATGGGAAAGTTTGTTATCACAAGGCATGGTTATTATGGGAAGGCTTGGTAACACTGCTATTGCGGTTCGCTTCCTTGATGCCCGTTAGAAGCACTGCAAAGAGAATTTGGAAGCCGAGACCGAAATTTCCTGCACGGCTGGCTCCCTATAGGAGCGCCACAGTAGCTCTTTGATGATGTAGCAAGCCTGATAGGTCTCTCCTCCCTCGACGAGGATGGGTTGGAATGTAAACATACACAAAAGGAGAATAAAAAGTTGGAAAAGCGAGAGACATGAGGAGAGATGTGACCACGTAAGGGAGAAATTAGTAGAATCCGACATATCAGATGTAAACCCGCCAACATGTAAACGGGGAGTCAGTCGAAATCGTTAAAAATCCAAAATGCGCTGCAGGGAAGTACTTCGTATTGCTTTGGGCATCGCGAAAGTCCAGAAGGTAAGGGCCAACCCGATAGCAGATCAGTGACGCCAAATCATGATTGGAAGACCACCAAGCAAGGTCCAGACTGCTTGCTGTGTTGGAAAGCAAACTCTTTACTCGATTCCGGGAGGACAAGTTAGATTCAAGCATTCAGAACAGAGGCGTTGGTTATTGAACCACGTTTTGGGTTTAGCTCCATCCTGCAGACATTCGGCTATCTGGTTTTCTCGGCAGTAGAGTCCACGCAGTGTGAAACTGACACTTATTAAGTCGGATTCAATAAAATATATGAATGCATGCCTGCATCCACAGTCACATAAACTGGGATCTTTAAATAGCTGCTTGTGCTCGGAAATGCTAGAGAGAAAAAAAATCCCAATATGTACCACGTTCTGCGAGGGATATCCGCAACATCCCCGTTTGTGTTTTGAACGTTTTCCTGGCTTTAAGGGCCAGAGGTTCAGAGAACCTCCTGCAAGGTATGTATTGTTGATTCACATCTGGCACAGAACAATACATATTCCGGTGAGCATGAGGTCATTAAACGGCCATAGTGGTCAGAAACGGTCCATCTCTGCAAGTCACCAACAGCATACTGGGATTTTGATTCGCTTCCTACAACAACGATTAGATGCTTCTTCTGCGCGGCAGAATGTATCTCTGGACAATAATGCGCAATGATCTAAGAGCGCCAAACCAGGGAGTAAAATGGAACTCACTCTCATGGTTCAGATGTGTTACACTACCTGTGGGCATTACCGGCCTTTACTCTGTGATTATGCGAGGCCAAAAGGACCTGGAGTAACCTGGGCTTCTCAGGAACTCACTGATGTTATTTTTTTCCTTGCTGTGGTTGAGCCTTCAATCATTGTCATTTGCGGTCAACTGTGGTTCCAGTGAACAAGATTCAGGATCGATTCCCGAACTAGTGAAATACCAGGACGGTGCTTACATAATCAACATCCGGCGCTTGAGGACAACTTTTTAAACGCCATTCCCCCTTGAAAACCTTCGCTGCTAAGACCTCGCATCGAGGTAGTTAGACACGACGAATGGTCAGCGTTGGGGTATGCGCGAGCGGGCTCCTGTGACCGCCAGCAACATCAAGTAGTAAGCAAACTGAGTCATTCGTCAATGTGCTCATTCGTGGACATTGCCTGCGTTCTCCCAGGGAGGCGAAGGAGCCACTTCCATAATGGAGTGAAACATGGAGTTTATTCTTGTACCCTTCCTACCCTCCAGAAAAGAAGGCCCGCAGCGAGAAAGTTGCCTCCATATGCATCTGGAAGAAAGCCTAGGTCACAGGGGGGCAGGTATATCTTCATCCCCAAGGCCGGAAGACAGCAGAGCGCGTTCGATCACATATCTTCCGAACTTCTCTTTTCCCAAATCACCCTTGCATCCCCGCAGAATCAGCCAATACCCGGGGGGAGGGGGGGTGGCAATCATCATGATTCCCCGACTATCAGATTTCTAACCTTCATCTGTACCGTCTATCTCACATCTGGACAATGACCCAAGGGACTGTTCTACCCCGGTTCCAGAAGGTCGCCGTTATCGTCCGTTGAAGAACTGAAATCCCAGAGTATGGCTCTAAACGTTGGATCCAATGTCATCGAGTGATGGAAAATCTACCGGATGATCTCGAGTTTCTGACAGCAAATCTGGGCGTTTTTTTTTTAGTTCTCTTGGTGCTACTAACCCCCAAATTTTAGCAGTGTGGCCACCGAAGATTCTTATTCGACTGGAGGCGTCAGCTCCTGCAAGTTCCTTTGCCAAACTCTCCAAGCTCATGACTTTCCTGGGCTCGTTTAGCGTCTAAACCTGTTTGGGGTATCAATGAACACCAAGGTTGATTGACAACGAGCAAGTATTGCTATCACTGGCCGACGGTGCATAAGCACTTCAGAGTGTGAAAGAGGTCTCTGTCCTATCAGGTTGCTTTCCCCTCCCGTTGTTGAACCGGCCTAACATCTCGCCAAGAAAACTCCGCTATGCCTAACCTCATCTGGGTATGAATAAAGAAAAACTCAAATTGTAGCAAAGGCGATTCCCGTAACAGCCGTTTTTCACGACTATTCTAAAGGGAAGAACGTTGAATGTGTACAACTATCATGAAAAGGAATTGATAATGATAAAACCTCTCTATATCTCTCTATATATAATTGAAGAACGATTTTGAGTGTATGTTTTACACGTCATGTGACTTCTCATCTAAATTTTTGGCCTGCGAGGCTATATTATTGTTATTTTAGTTCGTTGTAGCTCAATTTCATCTACATTTTTTCAACACATTAATTTGATTCACAGTTGCTCTTTTGCTTTATATATGTCTTATTTTCTTATTATACCACTTTTTATCATTTATATGCCTATTTGCTTCTTTCTACTTCTTTAAATATGTTAATCAGTAGTTGTTATATATTATTATATTGTTTATTTTTAAATATAAAATATAAAATTTCCAGATTTATTAATCGTGTTAAAATGTTAGTTTAACTGAAAAGATTCTTCTTATATAATTAGTGTGTTGCTCAAACTCTTAAGCATAAATGTAAAATCAGTCTATATTTGAAATAAACGAAAAAGATAGATTTTTAAGATTTTTCTGATTTGCTGAAGAGAAATTAGATAAAAACTAATATTAAAAAGAAATCTATAGATCTGCTAAAGCATCTTTTCTACAAAAGCTTAGTCAGATTTAGTTAAAGATTAAGTTAAACTCTTAACTGAATCTTAACTGAATTCTATTAAGCTTGTTAGAGAATTAGTTAGGGCTCAACTTTATGAGCTTAGCTAGACTGACCGTGGCAGCAGTAGAGAGAGCCTCCAATGTATATAGATATGGGCGGAAAATTCACAAGAGCCACATTGATGACATATATATGGCACGAAACACGAATCCAGTCACTAACGTCTTTCCGAGCGATCCTGCCCAAGACCCCATCGACCAACTTCAGACATTGCATCCTCCCCCCCCTCGGCCAGCCTCCCATTGGCATTAGCCGGATTCTGGTCGCCCAGAACGCCAGCAATGCATTTCCACCCGTCTCTACCCGCACCCCATCGCAAAAGCTCATTCTTGAATCTCTCCCCAGCCTCTCGGTCCGTGGCTAGCTTTCCTTCCTGGAAAGTCTCAGCCCATAGCTTACTTGCTATGGAGCGGTCGAAGAGGTAGCTGTAGTAGGTGGCGCCGTAGTTGAATAGATGGGCAAAATAACCCTGCCATGAAGTCTGGGATTCTATCGGATCGTAGATGGTGGCGTGTTGCGAGTAGAGGGAGTGGAAGATTTGGGTTGTGTCGAAACCCCCGTGAAGGGGACTGGAGTCATGATATGCCTGGTCAAGGAGCGCCATCATGATCTGCGCCTCATTGTCCATGGCGCCTTGAATATTTTCGTAATTTTCGTGATTGACACGCATCGTTTGGATCATGTCTTCTGGGAGGGGTTGGTTGGTCTCCCAATGACGAGCATAGAGAGATAAAACCTCTGGAGCCATGGCAAAGTTTTCCATAATGATGGAAGGTAGTTCGACAAAATCTGTCGCACAGCGAGTGCCGGAAATTCCCTGGAAATCCGTACGAGCCATGACGGAATGGATAGCGTGGCCCATTTCGTGGAAAAGGTTTTGGACATTGTGTTTAGAAAGAAGCGGAGGCTTGGTGCTGTTTGGGGAAGGATTTGTGAAGTCGCAGATTAGGGCGACTGTTGCAAGTTGATAGAGAGAATTCGTTCCTGGTCGTATTGCCGTTGCCATTCCGTCGTTTGGATGGACATCAGCTGAGAGAGCTGCCTCCGAAATCTCCTCAGGGGATATGACACGGGAGCATCTTAGAGTAAAGTGGGTTGGATGAGGGTTCTTCCCTGGCCGTGAAAAAAGATCACAATAAATGACTGCAATGTGGTTATCAGATTCGTCTAAAACATCCAAGCGTCGAACATCTGGGTTCCATGTCTCTCCAGGACATGTTTCCTTTGGAACGAGACGGACTCCATAGAGTCTAGTGAAAAGTCGCGAGAGACCCTGCATGACTGTTCCCAGCGAAAAGAATGAGCGGTAGAGGCTGATCGCGCCAGATTTTCTAAAAAAGTCATGCTGCGCAGCGTATTTCTCAACGTAATAAGAGAGATCCCAAGGGGCAAATGGTGGTTTACCCTGACCCAGCTTGGCATAATCTTCCATTTTTAAAGCGTCCAAGTTCGCGATCTCTTTCTGGACAAGATTGCGGTTATTCGAATTCAACGCCAACAAAAATTTTTTCACTGACTCGGGGCTTTTAGCCATCTTGTCACTCACTGCCATATGAGCATAGCTTTCGTAGCCGGTCAACTGAGCTAACTCGGCCCTCAATTCAAGTAAACGTGTCAGACGGTCAATCTGGGCATTTGATGTCTTGCGAGATGTAAGATAGATTTGCTTCCGTGTATTCTCATCGTGGACGGATTTCAAGGCTATAATTGGCATGGTGTCATCGATTGGAAGTCGAACGCTCGTCCACCGTCGCATCCTTTCCACCAGTGTAGGATCCATTCCCTGTAGCTTGTGTATGTCGAAAGACAGGTGGTTGATTTTGGGTTCCATACCATTCACAAAGTTAAACCCCGCGGCGCTGATATCATTCCAGAGGTCTACAAAGCGCTTTTTCTTCTCAGGAGGTAAATGGATGCCGGACTTTATAAAATCCTTAACCAGCAGCTCTGCCGTTACCTTTTCCTCGTGGCTCCAATGAGCAGAAATTTCAGGTTCCGACATAGCCCACTGAAGCTTGTCATTAAGACGAGTCTCGGTATTCAGGACGTTCATGTATTCGAATACGATGGAATATGCTCGTGTAGCAGCATCTTGTATGGCGGGGTTGGGATGGTTCGACCTCATGAAATCCGCCATATCTATCACCCGGCAGAGCAGGTCGCTGAGACGGTCAAGATCCTTCACAATCCTCCTGTGTTCATCAACGGTTGAGGCCTGAAGTACCTTAGCCATGATCTCCTGGCATTTCTGCAGCGAAACGGAGGCAAACTTCAGGAAGCCTTCTGGGGATGTGAGGTATTTGTTCCGCAGCAATCCCGTTGGAGACCGGCTCTTCCGCTGAGAAAATTCCCGCCAGAACGGCTGAGAATCAAATATCATCCGTAGGGTACTATCATCGTGACGCTTTGCCGCCTCGTTCCCAGCAACAGCAAAATCCAGCACATTATTGTTGGGGGTTACTATGCCGGCGGCGGCTTGGTTGTGGATGCGACGGTTGATCTGGGCGCGATGATGTTGTAATATGCACCGTCGACAAGTCCATGGCTGCCGTCGGAGAATCTTAAGCATCTTCCGGGGAGTATCATCAGCTTTTCGAAGCGAAAGAAAACGGAACGCTGTTAAAAAGTCAGGTCGTTTGGAGTTTTTGCTAACATGAAGAGGTTGGTAGCTGAAGATTTCTTGTTTCTTAGCCCAACAACCATGGATATTCCCATGTTCTGATTCCCGGAGCCAAGCGATATTTGCCAAGCCTGGATTTGGCGCATATTCCTTGCAACGTTCAGTCCAACATCGTAAATATTCGACATTCTTTTTTTGTTCCTACGCATTGAGCGCCAATTGGACAGCAACGTCCATTAATCGCAGGATCTCCTTGCGTTCAATATTCTAGCAGGTATGGTCTACTTCTCTATTTCCATGATAAAGCTAATTCAAGGACAGGGTTGTCACCGGAGCAGCAGCTCACTCCCTCGACGACATTAGACGACATGGTACGGGGATCCTCTTGGAATACAATGAATCTAAGTTGGCTAGGAGCATGGATTATAGACCTAACCATCTAGTCAGTCACACCGGAAACCCATTTACGAGGATGAATCCCCCGCGGTTCTGGCGGAAAAGCCACAATCCGGTCCCCAATCCCAACCTCAATCCCAGTTCCAAGAAAAAGAACCACAGCAACCCTTCCTCTCCACGAAAACACTTCGAAGGTCCTTTGCTACCTCAACAGGAGACCTACTAGCCCCACAAGTCCGCCAGGCCCGCCTCTTCCTGTACTCACACGCTCTCGTCGCCGAAAACAAATTCAACAACGCCCTCTCACGCGCCCTCAATACCGAAACCCGCATCGCCAACGCGATAGCATCACTGGCCCCTTCGCGTGAATCTGGGGAGCGCCTGCTGCCCGGTAGCATCTACGTGCTTGTAGCTTCCATGGCCGGATCAATTGTGTCTCGGAACCGCGGCATTTTCCTACGGACGACGACGCCGCTTGCTGTGGGCATTGTGGCGGCCTGGACACTTCTGCCCGTCACGATGCAGAATGTGTCGAATCTCGTGTTTGAGTATGAGAAAAAGATTCCCGGGGTTGCGGAGAAGCATGTTCAGCTTCGCAATGCTGCGGAGGATTCGTGGAGGAGGGCTGTTGCGCACAGTGGCTATGGCCGGGTTTGGATGGAGCGCAAGATCGGACAAGGGAGAGGAAGGCTGGAGGAGTGGGTGAGGAAGGGGAACTAAGGCACCCTCTCTCAGGGCCTTGTTTCTAAAAATGAGAAAAAACAAAAGTTAGTCAGAACGGCGGGCTTTACCATCTTCCATTGCTGTTACTACAGCTCTCTGTATATGTAGAGACTTCTTTTAGACGTGCATTTGAGCACCAGATGTACTCCTTTTGACTTGCCGATAATATAAAAAACTACAATTAACAGATGAAGACTCATTTGTCATTAGCTATACGTTGCTATTCATAGTAATACTACAAAATTAGGTATCCCAGCGTGAGAAATAGATTAACCCTACCATATCTTCAAAACGGAGAATAATATTTAACTCCATACGCCGAGTCCATGCCACCTACATAACGTAATCCCCTCTATGGAAGAAAAAAATAAATATCTATCCCGTCGTCTCAGTGTTATCCGTTGCGGTTGCCTGTGCTGGAGAAATATGATCTCCGCTAGTTTTTGGTGGTGGAGGTATTGGCGAAGCATGCCTCGATGATACAAAGTCCTCCTCTTTACTTCTCTGCTCGCCTTCACGGAAGTAGTCATCAAATGCTACATGTCCGCCATGATGGGCATGGCGGGGCTTACGGCCATGCCTCACTTGTGCTGAATTTGGTGCGTTTGGGTTGCTCAGCGGTGAAGTTAAGGGAGGTGGAGAAACCATATTGGCGGGTACAAGGAAATGGTCCCCAGGGCCATCGGATGGTACAGGTTCATTTCGTCCACGGTGTTCCTCGTGTTCTTGTGTTTCGAAAACAACTTCTCCTGGCCCCTCCACCGCCTCTCCTAAGCCTACAGGCAGTCTGTGAAGGGCACCATACCCCAGCACTGCGCCCAACGCACCTTCTCCGCCCCATCCTCGTATGGGAACGAGCTCGACCTCCCTGACAACGTCAAAATCCCTGTTATATACCCATAGCACAAGGCTTCGATTCAAGTGATCCTCGACAAGTTCGCCAAGCGCAGATTCCCCACGGAGGGTCCCGCTGGGTGTTCCGAGTATATAGTCTGAATGCGGGAGAAGCCCAGCCTGATAGGCTGGACTCAACGTAGAAGGGATCTCTGTAATGTGCCATATATGTTGTGTCGATGAAAGAGGGGAGAACTGGAAAGTCACACCGAGGGTGGGGTTATCGGAGGGAATGGGTATTGACAAGGTATGTGTCCGTTGGCCCTGGAGGCATTTGTCAGTTGTAGAATGTTCGCGACCAAATCAACCACCTGGCCAAGAGTTTCAGAGCAGCACACCTTTGCACTCCAAATCTCGAAAGAGACGCTAGATCCTGCGCAATTGCGAATCTCAGCTGCGAAAAGTTTCGGGTCTGGTTCGTCCTACGAGAAGTGTCAATATGTAACAAACAGCTGTTGAGCTGTTGTCGTAGAAGGGCAAACCCCGTACAATAATGTGTCCGTTTATTCCAATTACAAAGTCGAACCAAGGTTCCAGAGGGAGTTCTGGGTCTTTATTTCGAAGGACCTGGAAGCCATGAGGATTGTCTCTGAAATAACTCTGTTGCTGCTGCGCAGGCTCCGAGTCGAGACGGGCAATGAAACGATTGAGGGCGCCGAACATGGCACGTATTTAGTTCAAAGGCTTCGACTAAACAAAATACAAAACCGTATAATATACCCTAATTGTGTTGATTGTCCCTGTAACAGTCATAAGCAGGAATGAGTATTGTCGCATTGGCCGTTGTAAGTCATAGGCTGTCTTCGTTTGTTCGCCGCAAGCAGCGAGCATATTTGAGGTTCAAGACGGAGGATGCAAACAGCACAAACATGCAACTACTGCTTCATTGTAACTAATTTGTTTGTCAAAAACGTCGAAGACATCGAGATTAATTCGATTAATTCCTCAGACTTCTCATAATATATATGCCCTGTACAGAGGTACGCAGTGAATTACATTACTAGAGCTACGTTATGGAATCAGGCTCTGGAGTAGCAGGAATCTAATCATTTTCTTGCTGGCATGGCGAGTTCGGTTGATGAACCGCCTGCAGGAGCCCATCACTATTCCAGCAGAGCAGAAGTTCCTACAGATATCCGAAAGTGAGTCCGATATCTGTTTGTATGGAGTATATTCCTGTAACTTATAAGGCTATTTCAGTCAAACTAACCCCGATAGAATAGCTACTGGGCCCAGCGCTACACAATCTTCTCCAAGTATGACGACGGTATTTGGTTGACGGATAATGCCTGGTTCGGCGTCACCCCAGAGCCAATCGCACAGTAAGTAAATCGGATCGAGCAACTAAATTGGCTGGAGTCTCCATTCTAACTTTTTTCCAAGGAAAATCGCACAGCATATGGCTGACTCTGCTCCTAAGGACAGAAACATACTTGTAGACGCGTTTGCTGGCGCAGGTGGTAATACCATCGCATTTGCGCAATCTGGAAGATGGAAGAGAGTATACGCCATTGAGAAAGAACCTGCCGTTCTCCAGTGTGCAAAGCACAATGCCAAAGTGTATGGCGTGGATGACAAGATTACTTGGTTTGAAGGGGACTGTATGCAAATTCTTAAACATCAGTTGAGCGTGCTGTCGCCCTACAGTGTAATTTTTGCAAGTCCGCCTTGGGGAGGTAAATCTAAATCCATGTTCATCCCTCTTGAAGTCCAACCTGTTATATTTTTTTAACGAGTTGCTGTACCAGGGCCTGCATATCGCGCTGATGATGTATTCGACCTATCGACTATGCAACCGTACTCCCTAGCAACACTCTATTCCGAGTTTTCAGCATTTACTGAACATCTAGTTTTATATTTACCGCGCACATCCGATCTGAGGCAACTTGCAACAATTGTCAAGGGTGGGAAGAAAGCCTTGGCCATGCACTATTGTATGGATGGGGCGAGCAAGGCGTTGTGTATTTATACAGGAGGATTCAATAGCAATTCGCTTTAAAGGGAAACATTCATTGATTAATTCACTGAGGTGGTTTCTTCACTAATCCCTTTTTCGTATAGATCTAATACTCTTCTGCTAGAATACCTCCTCAGTCAGTGAAGCAAGTAATTTGAATCCGCAATTACACCAGAAGTTAGGTAATACGTGAATAATGCATATGAACTACTCCCATCAACACAGCCTCATCCATGTATATTTATTGTGGTGAGTTAACTACATAGAACACCTTGTGAGCTGCCAGTTCACAGATCCTCGTATCACGTGACATCCTCCATCTCCGCCGCTTTTGGCCTCCCTCATCCACAATCGAACCATACAAGCTTACACACAACGTCACGATCGTTATACAAAAACATCTTAATCAATCCTGATCACATCCCTATAAGCTCTCTCCCATCCCCTCAGGCAGCAAGCCTGATGGCGTGCCGACGCAGCGCCGCCAGCGCGCCCAGCCCCCCAACACCACCGAACGCGTCCCGAGCCTTGACGCGCATCTGCTCCCCCATACGCCGTCCACCCAAGAGACCCCATCTCCTCACCCCAATCGCCCGCCGCACATGTGAACTGAATGACATGGAGTCTCCAAGCTCCCCTACACCAGCAGGCAGCTCAAATAGCAGAAATGTCGCACCAATTCACCTCAACCTACGTGGCCCGATGGCTAGCGATCTCCTAGCCGCCCACGAGGCTGAGGCACAGAAATCCCATGCAGAAGCACTAGCGGCTGCAAATATGCTTGATCGGATTGAAGAAGACCTAGATGTCATGAAGGCAAAAGGCCTATCAAGGGCACTGGCCCTTGGAGCCGCTGTGAAGGCGTTAGTCAAGGACTGGTACAATGGAAGTCTAGAAACAGCTAAGCAGTCCACCACAATCAAGCCTGCTGGCTCCACTGGTGCAAATGATGCAAGAGCTCCTACCTACGCAAAGACAGCTGCAGACAGCACCAATGTAACAAAAACACCAGCAACCATACTGCAGAAACCCCTGCTTAGGAATAACCCCAGAGAAGGAAAAACACCACGAATCCTCGCGCGCCTGCCTTCAGATCATCTAGCTCGCAAAGCAAGCCCAATTGCTACTCTTAGAAAGCTGAAGGCGGAACTCCCAGGGCCTTTGGCAGCAGCCATCACAGCAGTTCAAGCCATCCCCACAGGCATTGCCATCATTCCTAGAAGCTTGCAAGACATGGAGGCCCTGCTAGCCCAAAAGAATGTTTTAGCAGCCACCCTCACCAATACTCAGATAGAGAAGGAAGAACATTGGATCACCTGCCTGATTCCTGGGCTGCCCATGGAGATTAGTGACTATGGTGGTGGAACTCTGCGTCTCTCAGCAGAATCCATGACAGAAGAATTCACACTCCAAACCAGAATCAAGCCTGTCCAGAGTCGCTGGGCAAAAATACACCCTGGAAACCCAACAGCCACTCTTATATTACACTTTTCACAAGAGACAGCAGTAAACCTGCCATCAAAAGTGGAACTATATGGATACCAAAGACCAGTGATCAGAAAGGCACCTAAGGTCAAAATACAACAATGCAGCAAATGCTGGGGATTTCATCAAGAGAGATACTGCCTCCGCGTCCCTCGCTGCAAAAAATGCAGTTCTAAGAATCATGTGAAAGGAAATCCATCCTGTCATAAGGAGAATGAAGCATGTGGATGCCCCAATCACTGCACTAACTGTCTTGGACCACATGCCGCGGATGATCCATCCTGCCCCGCCAGACCAGGGATAAAGAATGGGACTGTTCAAAGGCACTCAAGAAACCAGCTGAGGGATATCCGCAATGCACAGAGTAAGGCATACTTGGCCAAGGCAAGTAACAGCAAATGCGGTGGTCGAGGGCCATCAGCAGACCTGAGGTTGAATGATTCTACTGAGCGTAGATCTAACCTCACACCAACATCAAACACAGCACCAAGCACAGCATTGAGCACAGCATCAGGCACAGCATTAGGCATGGCGCCCAACCCAACATCTAATGCAACACCCAACACGTCATCTCACGCAACAACACCCTCCTTTCAGCTACTCAATGAAGAAGAACTCTAGATCTCCGCAATTCCTGCAGATTATGCAAGTCAACGTAGGAAAAGGGGGCCCAGCACACGAGACGGCCCTCAATCTAGCGTTTGAAAGAAAGACTGACATCCTTCTCATACAGGAACCCTGGATTCACAGGAACTTAAGCCAACGCATCTCCAAAAAGCACCCAGCATTCAACTGCTTTGCCCCAATTGAAAAGTGGGACAGGAAGCCACGGGTCCTCACCTATGTGCGTAAACACCCACAAATCCATGCTCATGCAGTCCCAGGCCCCTGGGCAGAAAACCGGGACATCCACATGCTGCACATACAGGCCTGGGGTCTACAGCTTCAGACAGTCAACATATACAATGCACCCCCAGGCGCAGAGGATCCTGGACAAGGTGTGGGCTGTCTTCTCTCCTGGTCTGTCCCAGCACTCCCGTTGCTCCTTGCTGGCGACCTCAATATCAAGCACCCCGTGTGGCAACCAGGAGTGCCTCCAAGCATGTGGGCGGAACCATTCCTGCAATGGACCATGAATTTCAACTTTACTCTCACCATGGACCCAGACACTCCCACACGTGGGCATAACATGATAGACCTGGCCTGGGCCACCCCGGAATTAGTTATCAAAGGAGTGGACACACAGGTGGACAGATCCCTTTACACTTCCTCTGACCACCAGACTCTTCTCACCAAAATCAGCCTTCCACAGGGCGCAAGGCCTGACAGGCCAACCCATTTTTTCCGTCTCGACACCATGAATGAGAAGGTCTTTAACCAGACGCTGGAGGCCTATAAGCCAAAACTAGACAAACTATGTGATATCCCAGAGTACCCCAATACAGATCAGCTGGATGCCCTGGCTAAAGGTATCACAGATGCACTAATAGCTTCCCTGGAAAGTTCCACCAAGAAGAGCACCGGGCAAGGCACAGGTCAGCCATGGTGGAATGAGGACTGCCAGAAAGCAGTGACAACACTACATCGTGCACAGCGCCTAGGCTCTAGTTTTTTACGAGAAGCAAAAAGCAACGTAGCCAGGACCACCAGGAAAGCCAAGAGAGAATACTGGCGAGGCAAGATAGCAGAGGCCTCAGTGGGGAAAGATATCTTTAAGATGATCAAATGGGCCCATTCAACTGGCTCCTTTCATTCCCCCCCTCTTGTAGATGAAGAGACTGGGCGAACGCGAACAACCCCTAGAGAGAAAAGAGACCTTCTGCAACGGGTGCTCTTACAGAAGGCTGCAAGCAGAGAGGATATCCCAATTAGCTGGTCCAACCCACCATCTGTCAAATTACCTTTTCCTGTTGCCTCAGCACATGAGATACAAAGTTCTCTGCTGAACACGGGTAATACCACTCCAGGAACTGATGGAGTGCCAACAGAGGTGCTACGAAAGGCATGGCCACATATTAAGGTATCAGTGGAAAGGCTGTTCAGAGCCTGCCTTAGGGTTGGCTGGCACCCAACCTCCTTTCGAGATGCCACACTGGTTGTGCTGCCTAAGGTCAACAGAGATCCAACACTCCCGCGATCCTACAGGCTTATAGCCCTTCTCTCAACGTTGGGGAAGGGACTGGAACGCCTGGTAGCCCGTAGGCTGGCCTGGACAGCTATACAAGAGAAGATTGTCCACCCCCAGCATTTTGGAGCCCTCCCTGGGCGGGCTGCCTCAGACCTAGTGGCAGCGATGGTTCATGATATAGAGGAAGCCTGGGCCCATGGAAAAGTAGTCTCTCTTCTTACTCTGGACATCAAGGGTGCTTTTGATGCTGTACTCAGAGGAAGGATGCTGCGGAGATTGCAAGAACAAGGCTGGCCACCAAATTTAATTAGATGGGTGGAAAGCTTCATGACAGGACGCACAGGCAGGATCAGATTGGATGGACTCCTGGGAGAGCTCTTTGATATCCCAGCAGGGCTTCCACAAGGCTCGCCAGTCTCACCTATTCTATTCATGCTGTTTATTCAGCCTCTGTTCTTTCTAGGAACTATACAAAGAAGACGTGCACGCTTAGGCTACGCAGATGATCTAGGACTGCTTAGTGCTGGAACCACTCTTGAAGGGAATGTTGTTACTCTCCAGGAGGATTTCAAGTTGCTAAATGATTGGGCCAGCAAAGAAGGGCTGACATTTGATTTTGCCAAAACTGAGATAGCACACTTCACACGGCGCAGAACCCTTTCAAACCCCTCAATCAACCTTGAAACAACATCTGGCACTCACTCTATTACAGCAAAGGCAGTGAAAAGCTCCATAAGATATCTAGGAATCTGGCTAGATAGAAAACTGAGCTTCAAGAAACACGTGGAGACCATGGCGGCTAAGGCACGACAGGTGTCTAATGGCATACGAGCACTAAGCAACACAGCAAGAGGCGCCCCAGTACAACTGCTTAGACAATCCATTCAGGCCTGTGTGCTCTCTGTGCTCTGCTATGGAGCAGAGGCCTGGTGGCCTGGAGCCACACGAATGGAGAAGGGAAAGGAAATCTCCAATCGAATGGATTGCCTAGTCAGAAAGCTAGATCTAGCCCTTAGAGATGCTTGCGAGGGGCACTGCCAGTCTACAAGACCACACCCATTTCAGCTCTACACCGTGAGCTAGGAATCATGCCAATGAAAGAGACACTAGACAACCGGCGTGCTGTATTTGCAGTAAGAATCAAAAAGCTTGACAAGAGGCACCCGCTAGTGAGACGCTCTAATAAAGTAGCTACCACCAAACCCTATACCACACGTCTGTCTAGAGCGTCCAGTCATGCTGGTGGGATAGAAGCATATGACCCTCTACTCACGCCCCCTTGGATGAGATTTCCCAGGAAAGAAGATCTGCAGATTGGGTATGTGGCAGGCCGCACAAAGGAACAGGCAGCACAAGACTTTAAGAGCTGGCTACAACAACGCAATCCCCTGGATCTGGTGGTCTTTACCGATGGTTCACAGATAGAGCACCCTCAGCGTGCGACTGGTGCAGGATGGGCTATATGCTGGGGTAGCGAACACCGTCTAATCTCCACAGGAAACCTGCCAATGGATAAAGCAGAGGTCTTTGACGCAGAGGCAATGGCAGCCCTGCAGGGCCTAAAGGAAGCCACCACCTCGCCTCAGGCGAAGTTTGCCAGCAACGTCTACATTTGCCTAGACAATTTGGAGGTAGCACGAGCCCTTGGATCCGTGCCAAACACCTCTAGCCAGCAGGTCTTCGCGCAGTTTCTGAAAGCCATAAAGGCCTGGCAGAGCAGGGATAGGCTCCCATTGGCCACCCAGAGCAGGGTGGTCATTAGATGGGTCCCAGGCCACGCAGGCGTGGCTGGTAATGAAAAGGCAGATCTTGAAGCCAAAGCAGCCGCAGCGCAGGCAGCAAGTGCAAGCATGGTACCTCAACCTGACAGCATAGGCACTCTAGCTTATATAAAGCGACACACTATGGAACAAACCACACGGGCCTTTGAGAACTACTGGGCCAAAAATCGGCCCAAACGCTATATGGAGCTGGAGATCCCACTAAAGAGAGCCTCAACAGAGGTAAAACTTTCACGCTTCACATTAGGAAAGCTCTATGCCGCCCGATCAGGTCATGGAGACTTTGCAGCCTACCACAGCCACCTTAAGCATGAAGATGCAGAGTGCTACTGCCGGTGTGGACATAGCAAAACTCCAGAACATTTCTACTATTGCACTCTTGCAAGAAAAGCAGCAAAGCGGCGCCGGCCTATCTACAATCTCCGCGAGACACTGGCAACCTCGCGTGGGGCCCTAGAATTCAATAACTGGCTAAGAGAAACAGCCTTCTATCAGAATATCTGTCCAATGCGCCGTCGCGCACCTCCAGATCAGATCCCACAGACCATTCTCTCCTCTGTCTTGCCCCCCATCTTCCTCACCACCTCCTCCTCCTTCCTCTCTTTCCTCTCCTTTCTTTCCTTCCTTGCCTTCCTTCCTATCCGCCTCCCCTACCTCCCTCCCACAAACCTAAAACCTCTCAAAACCTCTGCTCTATGGCAACCGACCCATGGGCTCTGCCGGTGCAGCAATACGCAACCCATTTTTGCCTCATTTGTAAGATAGCTACTAGATAGGTAGTCGCCTACGGGCGTAGCTCTACCCGCCCTATAGTTCGACGCGGACTCTACTAGATCACGTGCCCTTAAGGCACGTGGACTAACCGGGCGTTAAATAAAAACACACACACACACACACACACCATACAAGCTTCTTATTCTCCCTCCGTTCGCCAAACTCCCTATTGACGGTCACCTCCACTGCTGCTATCTGCTGAGAAACCGGAGAATTACATCTCTATTTGGCTCCAAGTTCCAATCTCGATGAAAACTCGGCTTTCTTCTTGCCAGTAAGGCAATCTTGCCCCGTCCTGATCTCGCTTCATGTCGACGACAGCCGTTTACACTCCGCAAGCGATTTCCTCTGACAAGTCAAAGACAAAAGGATCAGTGCCAGACAAGATGCCACATGCGACGGGCTCCGATGGGGTAGAGTCCGATGATGAGGACTTCAACAATGTGATGCGCGAGATCAACGCGCCGACTAACGATGCTTCATTTGATTTCTTACAGCGAGAACTGGAGCCCGGAGAGAAGGCAGACGATGCGGTGGATTACGAGGATATTGATGATGATGATGACCTTCCGGATGAAGAAATCGGTCTCCCTCCCGTTGGGGGAGAAGATGGGAAGACGAGAGAGGTAAATAACGAGTGGGGCGCAATGGAAGGCCTGGAAGGTTTTCTGACAGCAGGGGATATGGAGGGTCAACCGGTGGGGGATGAACTCGATGATTTATTTGGGGATGTCCCTTCATCGCCCGTAGGTGAACAGAAGGATCAAAATGGCGCTCTGCCACAGGCTATGCCAGACGAGATGGTTCCCGATTCCATTGTTGATCCACTCGAGGCTACGCCACTGGTAAAGGAGAATGGAATAGTAGAAACCGCACATGAACAGGATAGAGACTCTACTGTAACTCCTACAGATATGGATCCAGCCACCTTCAAGGAATACCAGCTCCAGCAAGCGCTCTTTGCGATGTCAACGTACGGGCCTGATAACCCTCCCGCTCCCCCAGAGAACCATGAGGAGCTCCTTGCATCTCTTTGGCCCAAATTTGACCGGAATGCAATGCCACGATTCCTCGAACTTCTACCCCCGAAGAAGTCCCATTTTGTAGGCAAATTACCCCTAAAGCCACCGAAACGGATTGTTCCTACAAAACTCAATCTCGAGCTGGCTCAGGACCAGGAACGAGCGTTTCGCACCACTGGCCAAACTCAGAAGCGGGCGTTGGATGCGGACAATCCCTCCATTGTCGTTATTACTCCTCTTACCGACGCGTCGTGTAGTTCAAGTGATGTAATGGATATCACTGATGACCCAGACGAAGAGCTCCCTGGTGGAGTTACTATGCAAGACCTTCAAGTTCTCTGCGCTGATTGGGATATAAAGACTCCAGTGTCTGAGGAAGAGAAAGCGGAGGCCGTCCCAGACATTCTGGAAAATGAGGAGCCTGGTACAGACGATGATGAATGGTTATTTGAGACTAACCGTCCAACTAAAAAGCGCAAACTGGAAAAATCGCCTAAGGACTACATTACTTACTCTCAAATAGACATTCCGTATTTTGACGACCCAATCAGTGCGACCGCCGGGGTTGCTAGGAAGATACATCTTGACATGAATGACCCGTACTTGTTGCTCGACGAACGCGCGACGGAAGCAGCATTACAAAGTCCCAAACATCTGGGGGCTGTGAATCGAGATGAAATGGCTGGAAGTTTCACAAAACGTCTGATTAAACGATACAATATCTCTAATGACGATGCCTACGATATGCTCAAAGAAAACCATCAAAACAAAGTTAGAAGCACTCTCGGGAGTGTGGCGCTTGAGCATAGTTTGCCAGCTGTCCGTCTCCAATGGCCGTACTACAAAACGAAACTCGCGAGACAAGAGGCTCGATCTTTCCATCGTCCAAGTTTAAGCTTTTTCCCGAATCTCCCCGTTTACTTCAAAAAGCCGTTATATATTAAGCGAAAGCATCAGAGGGGCAAAGATGTAAAGACTTTATACAGCTCAACAAAATCCTTGTCTCTTGCCGATAATTCACACGTTCTTTTGCTGGAGTACTCTGAAGAGCATCCAACAATGATGTCCAATTTCGGAATGGGAAGCCGATTCATCAACTACTATCGACGGAAGAACATGGAGGATCCTGCTCGCCCTAAGGCTGAGATTGGAGAGACTGCTGTACTTCTACCCCAGGACAAAAGCCCGTTCTCCATATTTGGGCACATTGATCCTGGAGAAACTACTGCCACGATAGCGACTGGAATGTTCCGAGCACCTGTATTCCAACAAGAGGCAAAACCAACCGACTTCCTTGTGATACGCAACAGCACTGGTATTGATGGGTCAAGTTATTACATCAGGAATATTGAATATATCTACGTCGCTGGTCAAGCGTTCCCATCGGTCGATGTACCGGGTCCGCATTCGCGGAAGGTCACAACAGCCTCCAAGAATCGGCTGAAGATGATATGCTATCGGCTTCTCAGGAAAAATAAGAACCACAGGATCAGCGTTGCTGACATCACTGAACATTTCCCGGAATCAAGCGATATGCAGAATCGACAAAAAATGAAAGAATTCCTACAGTTTTCCAAGGACCATAAAGAATGGGAGATGAGACCCGGAGAGCCTATTCCTGATGAGGATGTTTTGCGCAGCTATGTAAAGCCAGAAGACATTTGTCTTCTTGAAGCTATGCAAGTTGGCCAGCAACACCTTCACGACGCAGGTTACGATAACGATGAAGATGATGCAGATGACGATGAGAAGGAGGGTGAAAGTTTGGAACAACAGCTGGCCCCGTGGAAAACCACCAAGCATTTCTTATCTGCCACTCAGGGGAAGGCAATGTTACAGATACATGGAGAAGGAGATCCCACTGGGCGCGGAGAAGGGTTTAGCTTCATCAAAACTTCTATGAAAGGAGGCTTTAGGGCTGTTGGAGAGAGTGTTGAAGATAAACTGGATGCTCAGAGACTGAAAGAGAATGGTGGCCATAGCTACAACGTTGCTCGACAGCAAAAATCCTACGAGGAGTCGATCCGTCGTGTCTGGGATGCACAAAAATCAAGCTTATCCTCCACTATTGAACACTCGGATGATGAAAGTGATATTGACCACGAAGAGACAGATGAGATATTTTCTCACCCAAGAGCGAGGTCGGAGCGCCCAACTCCGGGGCTAGGTCGCCGTGATGATGAGACTACCAGTCAATTTAGTCGCATGAGCACTTCTAGCCAGACTGGCAAGATTATGAAAATTACGCGCAAGATACGTAACTCGAAGGGCGGCTACGATGAAGTTCAGGAGATTGTTAAGGATCCCCGCGTGATCAAACAGTACGCAAAGCAGCGGCATGAAGCTGAATCGCGGAACCTCATGTGAGTATCTTCATTAACATATCCATTGCCGGAAAAATTACTAACATATCCAGACTTGGTGATATCAAACCAACGGGCGACCCTGAAACAGATGCTCGCCGCGTGAAACAGTATGGCCTTCTAAATGTTCACCCCTGACTCTTGACTTTTAATCACCATCTAACACTGGCATTTATCAGGCTTCACCTCGAACTTCAACGTCTTCAACGCAACAAGGAGCGTCGCCATGCCCGCGAGAGACAAAAAGGCATTACGACTGACAGCCCCGTAAGGTCCCCTGGGGCTGTGGCCTCCCCGTCCACGACTGGCCCGAAGGGAGGAGGAACGCAAAGAAAATGCGCAAACTGTGGTCAAGTCGGACACATCAAAACTAACAAAAAGTGTGCTAAATATTCATCTTATCAATCCCCGGAAATTAAATAACAATCCTCAACTCATCTTTTAATCACAAAGCTGACCTAAGGCCCCTATCATTCTGGCCACCCACCACATTTAGGCTCTGTCCCCTCTTGAACGGTACGATGAAGGCCGAAGACGGTACTAGCGGCTCCGCATTTGCCATGGGAGCACCTCCAGCGCTATAATCGAATCCGCGAATGCCGTTTTCCCTATCTCTAATTCCACGAAACATCCGCAGGCTAGCTTTGGATTAAGCTTACCCACAGTTGTGACTGACCACAGCACACCATCCGGCAGCACTCAATATCCCCATACCTCCCCCATGAGACGTTCCCTCCGCCTCACTAGCCGTGCTCCTCCTTGAAATTTGTCAACGGTTCCTTTCCCCCACTTTCTAGTGTTTATTTGTATTTACTTATAGCTCCCAATTGTCCTAGAGCTAACTCAAAGTTATCTTCAACGGTTTCGTATATCGTATTTAACAACTCCTTGCCCCTTCCTTCCCCAAACAAGTCCTTTGATTTCTACATTTCTCGCATTATATTTGCACAAGCTACGTATCGGTCATGCATACCAATTCACTCCGTTTTGTTTATCTGTTTTCCTTTCCTTCTGCAGTTGTTTTATGGATCAAAGAACAATAAATCTGACAGACAACATGGGGGGCAACGGCCAGAGAGATACCATGGTATTTGTTTTGTTTTGGTTTTTTTTTTTTTTTTTTGCTCTTTCGTCTTTTCCTACATCGATAGCTGTACATACATGTTTACGATACAAACTACATATCCTTGGCGTGTGGAAGAGAGCCCAGTTTGCTAAGGAAGATCAATGTTGGAAGGCATTATTACATTGAACAGAATAGGAGTTCCGAGTTCAATTCTGGTAGAAGCTGTTCTAGCAATGTCCACGAATACAAGTGGACGTAAACAGACGGTGCCCTCTGAGAACCCCTAATCTCCTTTTCCCTTGGAGGTTAACAATAATAACATCGCCGATCTCGCACTCTACAGCGTGGCAGTCGGATAAAAGATAAAGAAGGAACCCAAGTAACTAGACTAAACGAGTGACCAATGCAAAGCAAAATAACTCATGTCCAAAAAACATACACGAGGGGTCTGATTTCAGAAAGTGAAAGGCATATAGACTACTTGCCACGAAACAATTGGGAATGTTTAACAAGCGGTGTGAATTGGTGTCCATTGCTCTGTGGACAAGAAAGAAAAGGAATCGTATGTGTAGGTCCCATAGGCTGAATTATAGGTGCTTAACGTTCGTGTCCGACCAAAGATCTCCCACGCTCATTCTCAAACCCAAGCAGAAAGTCCTTGGGCCGTCGATACGTATATCCCAAAAATGCCCCTCTTTTGCGAAGATTCAGCGCCTGCCGACCGATCGTTTCGTCGCGTAGAATTTTGTCCCTTGGCCGCTTCCGCTCTTTCTTCTTCTTGTGAGTCTTTTCCTGTCCGTTACCCTCAAGTTCTGCCTTGCCGTTCTTGTTCAGTACCTCCTTCATGCTTGCCGCCTTAGGGCCGTCGGTTTGATATCCGATGTCCATCACATGAACTGTACGGCTTGAATCCAGGTTGTTAGCAACCGGATCGGGAGCTTCGGTTTCAGGACAAGAATCGCCATGGCTCGAGCCATCTTCTACGTCACTGATCGGCTCTTCATCTTCGAAATATTTTGTGTCTTCCCAGCTTTTCACTTTGGGAACAAATGGTGGTTTGCGACAATGAAGTTCTTCCCATCTAATACCTCTGAAAAACGGATGGTCCTTAATATCACCGGCATCATCGGGATAGACATAATATCCTTGGTAATTTCTGCTTTGCTTGTCCGCTGGGCGATTAAGAAGCTCTCCCGGAAGTCGCTTTGAATGGACATAGTCATTCAACATGTACTTTCTCGAACACAGGCGGTATTCCTTCTCCTGGAGCATCTGTCCAATCAAATCGATTGCTTCGGAAGATATTAATCTGTCTGAGGCCTTTTCGACTGGAAAGTATAGTGTTTCCGGGTTTTTCTATCATCAAGTCAGAGGAGTAATCAAATTAGAAAGTTCATCCCCATCTTACCAAAATTTTGACTTTGGTGTCATGGCGGGTTTCGGCAGCAAACGGAGTAAACCCATACAGGCACTGGTGATTAGTTAGACACCCATATAGTAAGTGATAGAGGGCTTGACTTTTAACTACCTCGTAGAGAATTACACCAACGCTCCACCAGTCACACCTGCCATCGTATAAATCGCCACGTATAACCTCAGGGGCCATATATTGACTTGTACCTACTACACTTCTCGCAAGCTTCCTCATTTCCTTCCAATTCTTCCAGCACAAGATATCTTCTTTCGGACCAGGTCCACGTATGTCAGGAGCGCCATCTTCGCTTGTCCCAGAAGATCTGTTGCTGCCTTTCTCATGCTGAAGCCCCGCAGCTTTAGCTGCTTCCTTTTGATCCTGTGAATCGCCTTCGACATGGATACCCAGCTTCTTAAGCAAAGAATGCCGATGATTATTAAAATATGACTGATCGTGAGACCAATGACCGTCAAACGCAAGCCCGAAGTCAGAAATCTTCAAGTGCCCGGAAGCAGAAATGAGAAAATTGTCGGGTTTCACGTCTCTATGTATCCACCGGAGTCTGTGCGCTTCTTCGATACAAAGCACCATCTCTGCCACATACCATCTCGTTACATCTTCAGACAGGATATTTTTCCGGATCAACAGACCCAGGAAATCTCCCCCAACCATGTAATCCATGACTAAATACAAATTATTGACGTCTTGGAAGCTTGCAATGAGTGGTACTATCCATCTAGATTTCTCAGATGCAACTAGAAAGTCTCTCTCGGCGCGCAGATGTCCCTCCTGGCAGTTCCTCAGCATATCAGATTTGCGGATGACCTTCATGGCGTAAACTTCTTTTTTCATTTTGCTGATATCTCTCCGACGAGATGTTCTCACATCCACCGCGGATCTCAAGGTTTCAATCGCACTAGCTTTGATATAGCTTAGGTCACTCTTCGGGGTTGCCCTCCCAGCATCTGCGACAGCTGTTTTATGCGAATCCATGCTCTTTTCTTTGACGAGACGCACAACACCAAAACTGCCCTTCCCGAGGACCTTAATGACTTCATAACCCGCGATTAAAACACTCTCCCCATTTCGCAGGAAATTGCAGCGCGTTTTGAGAACGCGGTCTTGGCGCAGGTACTCAGATTCCTGGCGGTTCCAGGCCTGTCGAGTTTTTGCTCGCTCTTCTGAAGTGAGGGGTAGCGAGTACAATTTCTCTTCTAACTCCCGATATCGCTGTGCACGCGGGCTATCGCCTGAAAGAATAGAACTGAAATGGGTTTCCAAATATATCTTCGCAGTTGCAGTTGCTTCGACAGTGAGAATGGATGGAACAACAGGGGGGGCCTCGTTCGTATGCTGCAATTCCCGGTCAGAACCGGTACATAACAGAACACTTTTATCCAGTGCTTTGATACTGCTGTTCACATTTTCTGGTTTTGCAAACTGCAGTGAAGTTGGGGTGCCATCAGAAGTCGGATTTGTAGACTGGCTGAATGGAGATGAGCCACTTCCGCTTTGGGTAGCTGTAGACGGATCGGAGTCATCCTGCGGTTCATCTCGAAGCTTGTCGGGACCAGCTGTACTGGACTGGGCCTGGATACTTGGTATAGTTGGGATCCCAGGCCTTGATCGCAGGTTGGCACGATGAACAACAGTTGGCTGGCCAAAAGTCATTGACAGCTTCTGGGAGAGCCGATGCGAGAGCCCCGGACTTGACTGACTCCGACGAACGCGGAACAAGGGATGCTTGTCGTTCGTTTCCGCAAAGTCTTGTGTCTGAGGAACCTTCAAATACTTTCCTGAACAAGTTTGCTGCCCTCCCTCTCGGTCAACGTAGGGTGAAATTGCAGCCAGCCGCGAGAACACCCTAGAAGATCTCTCTTGCGTGTATATCGGAGACGGCGAATTGTTCCCCAACTCGCCGTATGGTATCTTTTGCATTGGGAAAAATTCATTGGGCATAGCAGTCGGCCCGAAAGACGCGAGGTGTCCTGGTTGAGCATCTGGACTCCCCTGGTAGAATCCTCTCCGCGTGGATGATCGGGAGTCTGCACGTTATAACTGAGTGTAAGTAAAAAGTTGCATATAGATAGATGAACAGTGCAACTACCTCCGCTGCCTCGCAACTTCAGCATGGATAACAGACTTGAGCTCTTTCTTTTGATGAATGCCTTGACTTTCTCCTTGCCTACAGGACCCGCCGCAATTCCGTCCGAAGTTGATGTGAGCGAGCCAATGCAACGTGTATCAGCGTCTCCTTCAAGGATGACCTTATTCGGAGAGAGAAGTCCAAAAAAGCTTCTGGACGTCCGTATCTTTCTCTTTTGGCCAGTCGTCATAATCCAACTGAAACATCAGATCCAATCATACGTGAAAAGAACGTTAGTGACGCGAGCCTAAGAGAGCCAATTACCTCTGGCTGCGTGAATAAGTTATGAAATAATAAAAAAGAATCTGTATGATAGCGATCGCAGCTTTGCTAGTGCCATAAAAATGCCAACGATGTTGATATATAAGATGATAAAGCTGAAGTTTGTAAAATGCGTTGACAGAAATTTATTCTTTTTTTTTTTTTTTCCTTCCCCTTTTGGAACTGAGAGGCATTCCCATACTAGAAAGTGACGCACAACTCACAACCAGCAAGCACAACCGTCATCCAGTTCTCTCCCTCTTGCTGAGTAATAGAATATAACATCCCAGAAGGCAAATGCGAACAGGGTGAATTCACTGCGCTGTCGTATATCTATGCCCATATTGAGGGAGGTGAGTATGCATGCGGAAACACGGCGCCAGGGAAGTGCTCCCCCCCCCCCGGCTGCCAGCGAGTGGTCGGAGGTTTTTGTTCCATGTTAGGCAAGAAACTGCAGCAGAAGGAACGCAGCGTGCTGCATTCGCGTGTATCATTCGACACAACAAGCCCGGTGTGTCTATTGGCTGCAGGATCTGATCTTCGAACCATTTACGTCTCAAGCGAACCGTTCACGTTCGGATACCCTAGTTGGCAGAGGTAATACCATTTTGCGGTGGTGCGCTGAGGATCATAGTGCGAATCCTGTGCCAAGCCCGTGAAGAGCCAGAGCATTAGTTTATCGTATGTATGTTCTCTTGGAAGAAAGGTGGTAAATCAATCCCAACATGGGTTTGGCCATTATATTTTCAAGTCTTTCTGCGGGCCATTAGCCATTATTCTGCTTGGAGAAACAGCTTTGGTCCGGGACCCGGATGGTCAAGGCTCGATTCACCCGTTTCAATCGCTGTCTGTCGGATTGGGCAATCGGATCACAATCGCAACATGAATTCCAACATCAGAACCTGATCCCTCAAGGCAGGTACTGGGATTAGTCCCAGTCTCTTGGTCGACAGGTTCACAGCCATGATGGATATAGACTTGCGGTCAATCATGAAATCAGCTCGCAGGGAGGTCTGCGATCTTAAAATTGTGCCATCGGTGGCGAGTGGCCTTTCAGTGGACCCCAGGTAGGGCATTGCACCTACTAGAATAATATTAATAGATAATAGTTCGCATTTTCTGAAGAGAGCACTCGAGGTTCTCTGCTACAGAACTGGAGCGATTTCCGTCGGGTTGACCCAATCTTATGACTCTGTTAGCGGGAGATAAATTTTCTTTTTGTGCACCCTGGAGACAACATGTTGCTTTGGGCCTTTTTCTTTCAAGAACTGATCGATATAAGAGGTTTCTCCCCCTCACTGCGGACCATTGGGAGGTTATGAGGTGCTGACGCTGTATCTTAAAGAGCAATTGTACAGCGGGATTGGGAATTTCAAGGGCTGAAACTCAGATTCGAGACAGTGATGTAACAGCGCATATTCAAATGGTCAAACCATCCAGTCAATTGTCTCACGCAGTATATCTGAAAATAGGTGGAAACGAGAGACCCGCTGTGAACAACGACAAAAAAAAAAAAAAAAAAAAAAAAAAAAAAAAAAAAATTGGGGCTGTTCAAATCGCCGGATGCCCTGACAATCACGTGTTGAAGCATGCCCTAAGGTCTTAGACACTTTATATTCCCGCGTAGGCTGCTCCATAATAAAACCTAACGCTTTTCCAGGATTGCTCATACATCTAACTACGAAGTAGTTATTTCTTCGATAAAATTATGAAATAAATCTACAATATAGCGCAGCTTTTGATACCAGTAAGCACATACACCGGGCAATGAAAACGAGCAAAAGAGAGAGTTGCAACACCCTTGGGTCTGCATCAACGAAAAAAAAAAAAAAAAAACCAGATAGCATGCAAAATTAGCGAAACAACCGATTCCTTTGTCAACTCCATTATGATGTCCGGATTCCTAATAAATGTCCGGTGTGCAATATACAAGTCAGATACCATGATCCCGACGGACAGGGGAAACAGACCACCAGATCATCAAGGAACCCACGGGATTGAACACAAAAGAAAAAGAAAAGGGGGATGGAATAGAATGGACACCAATACAGAAAATAACAGCCTGCTCCAAGGAATACTAGGCAAAATTCGGAGCAAAAACTTTTCATGGGAGATCTCAAAAAAAAAAATGGATAGCAAAAGTACAAAATGGGAATCTAGAACACGGACTCTTAATCTATTTGATGTCAAGAAGCTTGACATCGAAAATAAGTTTCGAGTTGGCGGGAATTCCTGGGAGGGCTTTCTTGCCATATGCAAGATGGGCTGGAATAGTTACTCTTCGTTCACCTCCAACAGCCATGCCAGGGATTCCAATGTCCCAGCCCTTGATCACTTCTCCGCTACCAAGTTTAAAGGAGAATGGTGGTCCTTTCTTGTTTGCTGCATAGACGGTTAGTTAAACATGACCCACCAAAAAGGCCAGGCCGTTCAAGATAAAGAGGGGTACTTACCATCAAAAACTTTGCCGCTTTCGAGTTTTCCGATATATCGCATAGACACACGATCTCCCTTCTTGGCAACGCGGCCAGTTCCCAATTTCTTGTCGTCGAGTTTGACTCCTTGGACCTCCTTGACGCCAAGGGTACCGGTAGCAGAAGCCTTCTTGTCACCATCTTTCTTTGGAGGTGAGGGGGTAGGGCCTTGTTCAAGGTTTTTGGCAAATTGAACTTTCTTGTCCGACTTGGTGGGCTCTGAAGTTTTCACTGGTATTTCCACTGCCTCCCCGTTGTTTTTCTTCAGCTTCTTCAGCTGTTTCTTGCTGAGCTTGGTGTTGCCATTTGTAATTGGCTCAGATACAGGCTTGCCTGTCTTTGACATCATGTCATCTAGATTGGCACCATCATCTCCTGAATCTTCTGCGGGTCGCTTGTTTTTGCCCTTCTTGTCTTTCTTGAAAGCGGGCTTCACAGCTTCCTCTTCATCGGTGTCGATTTCAGTAATGCGGGGATCATCCATATCATCCAACTCATCGCTTTCGTCATCTTCACCCATGAGTGCCAATTCGTCTTCATCAGGACTCAGATCATACTGGAGAATATCATTCTCCTCATCGCTCTCATCGCTATCCTCCATTCCATTGGGTTCATGCGAAGGCATGACGTAGTTACCAGTGATATAAACAGAATGTGTTCCGGTAACCTTGAAAAAGATGTGCTCATCCTCAGCAACAACGAAGTCAAGGGGTTGTTGGCAATTCTACATATAAAAAACAATGATTAGTTCACAAACTCCTAAAAGTCTAGAAGAGCTGAGGCATTCCGAACAAACCTTCTGTGGATCAAGAGTGCAGACAACTACTTCTTCCATTTCAAGGCCCTCCGAAGTGTCATTCTCATCATCATCATCATCATCGTCGTCATCTTCGCCAGTGGCCTTGGCCTTTCCTTTGATTAAATTGGAAACGGCAGCCTTGAGATCAATATCATCCCCGTCAGACTCATCCTCGTCATCGTCCTCGTCCATAGCATCTGCCATTTCCTTCAGCGCAGCAAGCTGCCTTGCTTGCTTCTGTTTGGCAGGATCGCTTGGGCCTCCATTAGACTCATCTTCTGAATCTTTGCTTTCATCCTCGTCCTCAGAATCTCCCTCAGAATTACTATCATCAGAATCATCGTCAAGATCCATTCCTGGTGGTGGTCGGACGATCTTCAATGTAGCGCGGGGTGGCTTGCCCTCAGTATCAGCATCAAATTCAGGTTCACAATCTGGATCGATAGCGGCCATAGTGACGCGGAACTAATTTCATTGTTACAAAAAAGCGTTAGATAAAGGCAAGGACAGATTAATAGATTCAGCCCAAACCGCAGCGATTGCTCAACTAGTACGTACCATGGCAGAAGCACCTGCAGCCGCAGGGATCAAGATACCGCCTGGTGGCACCTTCACGGCATACAGAGCAACTGGGTGAGTGGAAGACATGTTGAGCTAGACGAAATGTTAGGAAAAAATGCGAAGATGTTAAGGATTAAAAAGAAAGTCTATGGAAAAGCTCAAAGGAAAAACAAGACAAGGAGCGAGCGAGATATATATTTGTGTTTTACTGAGGAGTGAAAGAAAACGGACACAGGAGAAAAAAAAAATATCTCCGAAGTCAACAAACGGCAGAATTATTATTTAAGTTTCTGCAGTAGACGCTTTGACCAGTAGCAAGCTGCGTAATACTTTCTCAGTGGAGTTTGATATGCGTTAGTCTATTCTTGGACTAGCATAAGAAACGCGGCCCCACTAGTTAATTGACGGCGCTTAATAACTTAGAAGTATCGTTTATTGCGATTGTTTGTTAAATCATGTGGTTTCGCCCCTCCGTGTCAACCTGGTTGATGCGCGTCACAACTTCGGAGGTTTGGAACTCCGCAAGTAGATATATCCAAAGGTTTGTCCTCATTCCTTAATCGGTTGCTCTGTCTGGACTACTGGTGCTAGATATGTCTGTCTCTATACCTTCATAGGTCCCCATCATGGGCTCAAGGCTAGAATCAGGCTCTAACGCTGTGCGCAAGAGAATCGAGAACCGTAGGTGTCTACAGAATTTCCAGATCCCATTCGTTCCCCCTGTTAATATATATCGTTGCAGATGTGTTTGATAATGAAGATGGGGAAGAGTATGAGGGCTCAAGCTTCGGTGGCTTTGGCGACTATTTCCGACGCAAGAAGTTGAAGTTACAGAACCGTGATTCCGAAATCCGCGCATCATCGCCCAATAACCCGCCTATATTCCGTGGAGTAGTAGCACACGTTAATGGTTACACACAGCCATCTCTAAACGATCTTCACCGTTTGATTGTGAGTCATGGAGGAGGATTTCTTCAATATTTGGATGGGAAAACCTCCGCCACCCATATATTATCAAGCGCCTTGACACCAAAGAAACGAGAGGAATTCAGAAAATACCGCATCGTGAAGCCTGGATGGGTGGTTGAAAGTGTGAAAGCTGGACGCCTTTTACCGTGGGATAAATTTAGGGTTGTGGATGAGGGGCAGTCGCAGAAAGTACTCACATTTGGAGGCGATGGCCAAGTACAAAGTCAGGCTAACATTCAATTTCGCAGCTACCGGGATCATACAGAGACGAGTTGGTATACTTCACAGATAAAATCTGGGTCTGCTGACATCACTGAGAAGATGGAAACTACTGTCGCCATATCTCCATCAGGGACAGAAGATACCGCTGCAATTTCCCCTTCCTCCCACGATCCAAACTTGGCAGTCGAAAGTGACCTTGGAAATGATATGTCCCCAACACGGAGCGACAGTATTCCTGACGAGGCAATCGCTGGGTCCGATCCCCATGGAGAACTAGGAAACACACCATCGCAACGCAAGTCGCTAATCTCGGAAGAAACCAAGCGTCAAGGGCCTGTTTATGATCTCCAGAATCACGTTGATACAAAATCTTCAATGACCTCTGAGATGTACAATGCCAAGTTGCTTTCTGATCCTCATTATCAAAACTCAAGTGTGGTTAATTCCAAATTCATACAGCAATTCTACTGCGAATCACGTCTTCACCATCTCTCTACATGGAAAGCTGAACTCAAAGCCCAGATCCAGAGTGCCGCCCAAGACAAAGATTTAACACGAAAACCTGCTAGACATGTGCCTGGAGTACGAAGATACGTTATGCATGTCGATTTTGACAGCTTTTTTGCTGCAGTGTCTATACGAAAACATCCCGAGCTCGCTGACCAGCCCGTCGCCATCGCACATGGCACTGGTCCAGGGTCTGAAATTGCAAGTTGTAATTATCCCGCCCGTTCTTTTGGTATTAAAAATGGGATGTGGATGAAAGGTGCCCTGCAGATGTGCCCACACTTGAAAGTACTTCCTTACGACTTTGCTGCATATGAAGAGGCTAGCAGAAACTTTTATGATGTTTTACTTTCAATCGATGGAATTGTCCAAAGCGTTAGCATCGACGAAGCTCTTGTGGATATCACAAACATCTGCCTTGATGCTGGCGGTTCGGACGGTATTGGTATTTCTGAGGGCTCAATATATCGGGAACAGGCAAAAGCCGATGAAATAGCGCAGAAATTGCGGGATTCCGTTAAAGAGCAAACTGGCTGCAATATATCTGTCGGCATTGGTGGCAACGTGCTACAGGCCAGAGTTGCCCTAAGAAAAGCAAAACCAGCTGGCCAATTTCAACTGAAACCTGATGCAGTCCAAGATTTCATTGGCGAGCTTACTGTGAAAGATCTCCCAGGTGTTGCTCATAGTTTGGGAGGGAAACTGGAAGAGCTTGGTGTCGTTTTCGTCAAAGATATCCGTGAACTTAGCAAAGAAAAGTTGACATCCAGCCTAGGACCCAAAACCGGTGCAAAACTATGGAACTATGCCAGAGGTATAGATAATACGGAAGTGGGAATACAAGTTCCTCGAAAGTCAGTATCGGCTGAGATTAGCTGGGGTATTAGATTTGTCAGCCAAACCCAGGCTGAAGAATTCGTTCAAAGTTTATGCGATGAACTCCATCGAAGACTCGTTGAAAATCTAGTTAAGGGAAAACAGTTGACAATGCGGATCATGAAAAGATCTGCTGATGCACCACTAGAACCTGCGAAACATCTTGGACATGGCAAATGCGATACATTCAACAAAAGCGTCGCTTTAGGGGTGGCCACTAATGCCAGCGATATTATTGGGCGGGAGGCCATCTCAATTTTACGGGGTTTCAAATTCTCTCCCGGTGACCTGCGGGGTTTAGGGGTTCAAATGACAAAGCTGGAACCCGTTAAACAAAGTAACGTTAGGAGGGTTGAAAGCAGTCAGAGGCAGCTCAGTTTCAAACCATCTAGCCCTTCCCCAAAAATGGAGACTCCAATAGATCCCGATGAGATCAGTACTCCTCGGAAAGGAGATCCGTCCAGCAAATATTTACCAGCATCGTTTAAAAGCTATCCGTTTTTAACTGATTCTTCTCAAAAACCATTGAACCTGACAGGGACGCAATTTATGCTGCCAACACAGGTGGACCCTAAGGTGGTAGCAGAGCTTCCGATGGATATTCGATCGAAATTGGCTCCTAGACAGAAACATAATCAGTCTCCTCGCCCAGAATCACCCTCCCGGGCTGCGGCACAGTTGCCACCTCAGTCGCAGCTTGATCCCGAAATGCTTACTGAATTACCTGAGGATGTCCGAGCGGAAGTATTGGGTTATTACAAGCGACCACTGAGTCCTCAGCCGGAGTCTCCACAGTTTGGCATGCCAAGGCATAATCGGACTGCAGCTTCAAGAGCCAGCAAGAGGGTTCCCACCCCAACAAAGACCAGAACAGGACGAGCGCGTGGGCGACCATCTAACAAACTTTCTGGGAATACGACACTCCTACAGTCGAGTTTCATTAAATCACACCCCCCAACCGCACTAGCTTCTGTCCAGGAATCTATATATGCGCCCAGTTTCCCTCAGGCTGAACTTGGCGGAATTTCTGCTGATTTCCTTGCCGCATTGCCTGAAGATATACGGCGGGAAGTTCTCGAGGAGCACAAACGCTCCCGTCTCCAAAAGCGAGCGGGACTTAACCTACCTCCACCGACGCGTAGGTCTCTATTTCACAAACCGACTCCACGGATCCCAGAACAGAAAAGGCTTACTCTCCCTCCACGTCCGGAAAAGCCTACATTTACATCAAAGAAGTTGTCAACACTACCTGATCTACGCATTGCATTAGATGAATGGTACGGAGCTTTTGAGACCGAACCTCCATACGAAGAAGATGTAACTGCGCTCTCAAAGTATTTGAAACGTGTGGTGCTGGAGGAGAAGGACATAGCTAAAGCAGTTGCTGTAGTTGGCTGGTTAGCATGGTTAATAGACAATCCCACCACTAAAGCGCCCAAGACTGACCACGGCGGAAACTCAGAAAAATTAGATATATGCAAGACAATTGATCATACAGAGACAAGAGAGGTGTGGATTAAGGCGCTTCAGAGCCTTCGCGATAATATTAGCGATGCTGTTAAAGAACGGGGTTTGCCTCCTGTTGAATTTACTTGATGAACGAGGGTTCGCTCAGCTGTTAATTTTGAACAGAATTTTGTTGAGGGATCAACCCCTGTCTCGCACGCTTTTCTACTTGGGTTGAATACATCGCAATTTATCCCCTCACGACTCTTACGATAAGTGGGTCATGGTCGATGCTGTTAAACCGAGCGTCAAGGCCTTGTTTATGCGGTGTTTTATGTCAATCCTTCATCACCAGAGTTCAGAAAAAATACGTTTGGCGATTGTGGAAAGGGAGAAAGAGAAAGTAGGAACATTCAAACGCGACACCAACCACCATCTCCCCATTCTACCCAATATGTCCTTTGGCCTCAAAAGACACAAGAATTGCTACCAGAGAACATGTTTCTCCCTGCTCCTCACCAACATGACGAAAATACCGCTCTACGCAAGCTACAGTTTGAAGGTCGATCTACGTCTCGATCCGAATCAAAATTCACCATATTGAGAAAGCAATTGTCCGGTAATTTCGTCCCATGACATCTTTCTTCAGTATACAATGCAGACATTTACCAGCAGTGAGCGACATTGACTTAGTACAGTTACCCTGATATTGAATTTTTAAACTTTCCCGCCAATCCGTGGACAAGTTTAGTTGGCTAAGAAGTTTTCTCTTTTCTTTCACCCCTTTTTATTAATAATAATAACAATTTATTTACTCTATTTTGTGCAAGGGCAGAGACTCAAAATTTGTTGAGATGCATCTCTCTTTCAAAATGGGGCAATACTCGTTTTGAAAATAATTTTCAAAGGAAAAGTTGGAAGAAGGGTTAAGTGCTCTCTCTGATTGCTTTCTTGTGAATTATTGGAAGCGTTGCATAATCGTCCAAATGTATGTGATTGATTATCAACCAAAAATTGAACGAAGCTATGACAATGGTTATATAAATACAGAAACAGCAAAGCAAAGTTTTACATCCGACCCAAATTTCAACCTTGAGAGCGATAAAAAGATGTCATATATCCACACGGGATTTCCGAATCTCTGTAGTTAATCAACTAACTATCCTTGGAAGGCTTGTTAGTATCGTGCTTCCGTGTTTGGCCAGCGCATAACTCACATCGATTGTGTCAGATCCTCCCAAGTAACAATTGACTGTGCGTGCCCTTCAAACGGTTTGCGTTAAACCCCACCTCCCAGGTATAAACAACAGATCCTTGAACGGAGAACTGATCGCAGCTTGTCCCAGACCTGGGACACAAAGACAAGTATCAGAAGTGCCCCTTCAGGTAACCGAAAATGACTTACGATTGTCACTTCAATGGGTGTACGCTGCGTAACGGCAGAGAACCTTGATAAACTCCGACGCCCTAGGAAGCCTGGATTTTTCAAGTGTCCGAGGGACGATTTCCCTCCTCAAACGCATTCCGTTGTCCCTTTGTGATCTGCAACAGGCGGAATGAAATTACGCAAGCGGAATTCTCCACATAGAACGTGAAGAGCACAAAACGGATTCATCGCGTTTATGCAGCTTATGAAACGCTTCTGGTAGTTAAGCCAAGAGTGTGAAAGTCCCATGTCAGATGCAGCGCAGTGCGGAGGGCAGGATGGTGATATCTGATATCTGGCACATTTTTTGACCCACAGTTCGATCAAAGGGCGCTTAGACAATGTATACTACGAGCTGTGTCCAAAAAGATGACGGGCTCATGAAACTATCTCGAGTAGTCTGTTGCTGGGTTCTGTTTGGAAACCGGCTGAGCTATATATATATGACCCCGCTTCTGGTGGAATTCTTCGTCAATAACCTGCAGTTTCGAATATCACTAGAACAACGTGTAACTTCGAATTTACTAACTTTAGCTGAAAGTTAAGAGGCAGCATCGCTTGCCCAATTTATTTCTCCGTGAGTTTATCAAAGTTTCCCACTACTTTTCAATTGCTGGCTCTCTTTCTAGACTGACAACTTTTCGTTATTAGCCGTTTCTACCCTCAAAATAAGAGGAATACTTTTTAGTTCAGTTATTCTCATTGTTTGAGTTTCGACAGGTAGTTGGCAGGAACGTTAACTTGGGTTTCACTCTTGTTTTGAAAGTGCTGGATTTTATATTAATATCGATTTTTTGGGTAGTCATCATCGCCATGACAGTGGATGAGCCAGGTATGAAGAAAGCGAAATTCCAATTGAGCTGAACATTTCTTTTGCTACAAATTGCTACGGCTATGCTCGTGCCGCTCGCGTGCCCGTTGTCAGTCTCAACGGAGATGCGACTAACACATCCATCAATTCAGCTCCCGTTCACTATGCTATTCTTCTCTTCCCAGGCTTCCAAGCCCTGGATGCTTTCGGTCCGCTCGACATCCTAAACGTCATATCTCTGGACAAACATATAAAGCTATCCATAATCGGTCCGACACTGGACCCAGTCAGTACGAAGTCTCCAATTCCAAACACAAACCCCCAGAATTCCACTTCATATCAGTTTATCGTCCCAACCCACACGTATGACGCTCCGCCAGAGAATATCGAAGTGCTCCTTGTCCCCGGTGGATTTGGCACGCGGTGCAAAGAGACAAGTGCAGCCACTATTAAATTCATTGCGGATACATATTCCCACGTTCGCTATTTACTTACTGTTTGCACTGGAGGGTATCTGGCTGCGCAGTCGGGTGTCCTGGATGGCAAGAATGCTACAACAAACAAAGTCATGTTCAACTTTGTGGCAAAGAAGAATCCGACAGTGAAGTGGGTGCGTAAAGCGCGATGGGTTGTGGATGGTAATATTTGGACGTCATCGGGAATCAGTGCAGGGATTGATGCGATGCTGGCGTTCGTGCAGGCTATCTACGGAAGAGATTTGGCGGTTAAGACGGCGGCAACCCTTGAATATACATGGCATGAGGACTCGACCGTAGATCCGTTTGCGGAAACAACCGCTACTTATAAATTTGATCTTGATTAAAGAATGTTGGGGTGAGGGAATGTTAGCTAAATGATGCGGATGTGCGATGATGAGTTTAGATAGAATAATATTCGAAGTCAATAGTTCATTTGCCATTGGCGACGATGCGTTCAGCCAATAGTCCAATAATACACCCTCATATAATAGTTAAATACCCGGGATCTTCCTTGTTCTACAGGCTACAACAGACGATTACAGGCTCTAGGCCAATTCAATTAAAAATTGAAAAATAAAAGAATACCAGGTGCCATCAAAATGTGTGTTGTACCTTTGAGATTCTTCGGCCCACTTTTTTTCTGTTATCTTCATTTTTCTTTCAATTGCCAGATCCCATAATCTAGTTATTGCTGGCCACCATGGAAGAGGACAAGACAACTTCGCAGCCTAAACCTGCTCTAAATGACAATGGCGGCAACTTTTTTTTCTCCAGTATTATCTGCTTTGAATCTCAAACTCCTTCCAACCTTTGGTGCTCAACTTGAAAGCATCAGCGGATTGAGTCTATTACCGTGAACCTCCACTTTCCGGTTCCTACCATGCATCATTTCCAATTCAATTTCGAGATTGGGTGCGTTGAACTTCGGTCCCGGTGCCCGATGTCTTTGCATTCAGTGCTTCATTGGACAATGGATTTGGTTGTTCATTTCATTTCATCCTCATGAGCTTCATCCAGAAAATAGCTCTCTATGACTGCTGGTTTGACATGAAAAATTTGGTTGGCCTCTCCTAAAATTCATTTCCTTAGCAAACCGACGCGACCAGTCTTCTAAATGTTGGGTCACACCAACTAATATCATCACATCGTTCTTATCCTAGACATTGAAATAATTCCTTGATCATCAGTTTGTGTGGCCCAGGTTTGCTCTACTCTAGTGCGGATGAGCATGCAATGTCGGACACTTCCATCACGTGACTTGTTTTCCACCAAATATAGTCGTTCTCGTAGCGTGCAAACTCTGCAATTAATCAAGCTTGCCACTCTGTCAGTAAAATCACTCAAGTGACAGACAAACAGAGATATATATAGAACACATATCCCATATAGAACTCTATCTAATCTTTGTACTTGTTGATCTATGGTTTTCCATGTCTGCCGGTCTAATTTTATCACATTTCGAGGCGTTAGCAGCCCGGGACGGAATCGATGGTTAAAGCTTACTTACAGGGAGGAAGATTCGACCAACAAGGGACCAGCAGGATGAGTTTCGGAAACTGAGCAGAAGAATAGATTCAACCCAGGCAGCTGTCAATGCAGCGATTGCAGAGCTAACCCATCAGGGGTTAAGACATTGCCATCGCAAATCAAACTCGAGATGCAAAAAAATTATCAATCAACCTCATCTATCTTGGCGAATCTCAGGGGAAACCTTGCGCTTATCTACAATGGTCCCAAGGACTCGGAAGGACTCGGATTTGGATTCTGAACAAGCAAAATCAAGAAAGAAACACGATTGGACAAGATGTGAGGTGCTCCGTTCCCAGCATCCTCATGTTATTCTTATGTGGGCAATGGTTCTTCCGCCGTTGAGTTGGAAGACATCTGGGGCAATGCCAGACGGCACGTTCGATTTCATAATTGATGATACTTACACTCAGCGGATACTTCTGCTGTCACCTGAAACACTTCAAACACTGCAATCTCTTAACAAAAGGGGAGCCTTTGAACACATGGGATATGTGTTTCGAGAATTTGTTTCAAGCTTGTCGGATTCTATGCTCGCCGACCAGAGAGGAGCCCCCAACCCTTCCAGAAAAAGAGGGCAAGGGGTCGAAAGTCCAGCATCTCCAGAAGCATCAAACAGGGAGCAGAAATTTCAAACTTTAGAAACAACTTTCCTGTTTTCACATCAGATATTGAACGGGTTGGGTCCTGTCGCCACACACACACACACACACACACACACACACACACACACACGGATTCACTTGGTGATAATGATATGATGACATCACAACAATGTGGGCAGTGACATTTCCATCCGATGCTACCTAATGCTAATGATGCACAATAGGTGTCGACTACAGTCCATGTAAGTCCGGAATAAGTCTGTGACAACCACCCTTTCCTGTCAGCAACATTTACCTTGATGTAGATCAATCTCCAAGCCTGTGAGATATGGGGTTATTGCATCAGCTTATTCATCATATCAAACATGCGATCGTAATGGGTACAGCACGCACTCTGAACGTGTTAGACCATTTAGCGGCGGGACAACTTCGTGAACACATACACATCAACGCTTACTGACAGACACCTGAGAGGGGTACATATACACAAACACCAGCGAGTAGCATCACAGGGCTACCCGAGCCCTTAAAAACAGCAGTCCAGAATAGCAAACTTTGGATACAGGAAAGACGCCCAAGTCTAGAGAAGACAGAGTGTTTTAGCTACGCTGTTCCCAAAAGATGACACTCAGCATATCTCCCTCTCGATCTCATGTGCTGGTGAGGATGTATACCATCTCCCTCCACAGCATCTACGGAATGAAAGTTGCAATGTCGTTCTGGACCTCGAAGTATACGCTAGCTACTCTGATGTATACGCAATACCCGGGCGGAACGTCAAATGGTTGATACTCCTTTATAACTTCCTGACCTAGTAGCGTTGCATCGTGGTGGACCGGATTGTCCCCAGTTTTCGGGTTGGAGATAGAGAGATAGTATCCCTTGAAATATATTTTCCTATAGGTATCGGTCGGTTGGAAAAAGTGGCTTGGGATGTCTATTTCTTCTCGCCCCGCGAGCGCATTGTCACCTCTCTGTGAAAACAATATATATTTAGCCAGAGTCGGAAACAGAATGCACCAAATTATCTACTTACCGCCATGGTTAGAAAAGGTTTTGAGGACTTCTGGCTTGTGAACACCTCGCTACAATGTGAAAAAGAGTCTGAAGCGAAGCGCAAAGTAAATGCAGAGTGTGTAACACCTTCTTCGGTGAGATGGAAAATCTAGGTTTCGTAATAATTCTTTAGTTGCGTTGTGATTTTGCGAGTATGAAAAGGAGCAGAGAGGCAATGAAAGAGAAAAAGTTTTGCGACGTCAGGGGGAAAGGTCCGCCACCTGCGTGACTGAAGAAAAAAGCAATCACATGTCTCTATCTCATTAAGATTTGTTAGTTATCAGGCGTCTCTTGGTAAGGCCGCAAATAATGGCAAATCATATGTGGGCGACAGGCCCAAAGCGAGTTACCCCCTTCAAGGAGGATTCTGACAATGCAAACAATACTCAACAGAAGCACAAGATAACTGTTGCGATTAGGTTTCAGCCCTGGGATTTTGAAAGTCCAATGATATTAAAATTCTCCGTTTTAAACATTACACTAGCTACCAAAGATCAAACTGCTCAAAACGGGAGAATCTACACGGGGGTCCATACAAATGAGCTCTTGGGGATCTTCGTCGAGCTGGATGGAACGGCGAAATGTTATGCCGGCCTCTGGCTTCGCCAGAACCACATAACTAACTATTAACTCGTGGGGGAACGCTCCTCTGCTTTCTCTCTTCTTTCGCTCCTCGTCACAACAAGAGCCCAACCAATCAAGCAGAATTCGGTGCCAATCCTTGCTTGGAAACACCCTCCCCTTCCTTCGAACTTGTAATTACCTCAAGAGGCATGATGGGCCGGAAGCTAAATTCCGGTTGGCTACCCCTTTGCGGGTCTTTGGGGTCCGCAGCTTTTCGTAGTTATTCTCGGTGTCTAGCCGCTGTTGGACTCCGCCTGCTGCACGTGATATAGCTAACCCGTGTATAGCGTAAGCTCGCTCCACTCCCCGGACCGGACGGGAGGATCACCAATTAGTTAACGAAGATACGTACGTGATATTCGTCATCATCCTGCAGGTCCGCTGTTGCGAGTTATCTGTGAATTATGTCAAGGGAAACCCCACACTTGACACACTGCCCTGTGCACAATTTCCAGTCGCCCAGAACCCTGGCATCCATGGATACAGGAGGCTGATGACAGACTGACAAAAAAAAAATTGTTGCGAAGTTCGTTCTGTACTGACAGTTCTTCATAAACACAACCGAAATTGACCCCTGATAGAGAGTGGATGACTTACGTGAAACCTAACTTACGCGGCAGGATTAGCAGCAGATATGCAGGTCATAAAGCAAGGCGTGAACTGCAACCTCCATGGGGTCGTGGATATGGGAAGGTATGTCAACTTCGCTTGTTTATGTACAAACAAAACACATGGCCGCGTAACAAAACATTTTATCCGTCAAAAAGCTAATTAGTGGTTTTAGTAATGGTATCCGGTTCTCAATATCTGATCTTTCTCCGCCAACTGCGAGGATAATCCCAACGCTCTTCCAGGATCGAGCGGGCATCTCTTTATATGATGCGCAACACGAGAAAGGCAGCACAGAGAAACTCCCCATCCCAGAGAAGGTTCAGAGTGATGTTATATTATCTTTGTTACGATTTAAGCAAACATGCATCGATTTTGGAGTCCCTAGCTCAAACATTTATGTTCTGGCCACGGAGGCCACTCGAACTGCACCAAACTCCGAGGAGTTTAGGAATGCAGTGACTAAAGCGACAGGCTGGAAGATCCAGATGCTTTCGCGAGAAGAAGAGGGTAGGATCGGAGCTTTAGGCATCGCAAGCAGCCTTGGTATTGTGGAGGGCATAGTGATGGATCTGGGAGGGGGTAGCGTTCAGATCACCTGGATGTCCCCCAGAGGGCAATCGAAAAACTGTTTCAGCTTTCCATATGGTGCAGCAGCGCTGACTAAGAAGCTGGAAGAGGCCAAAAGAGAGGGAGATGAGGCAGTGAAAAAGCTGGCTGAGGAGATAACGACCAGTTTCCGACAAGCATACGAGGCTCTCAAGATCCCGCAGGAAATAAAGGACCATGCAAAGAGAAACGGCGGTTTGGACCTCTATCTTAGCGGAGGTGGATTCAGGGGTTGGGGCTATCTTCTCATGAGCCAGTCAGAAATACACCCGTACCCGATCTCAATAATCAACGGCTTTAAGGTGCCCTTCCCGTCATTCCAGAACACCGATGCAATTGAGGCGCTTGCAGCTGCTGAAGAAATAGCACACATATTCCATGTCTCTGACAGACGAAGAGCACAAGCCCCCGCCGTCGCATTCCTCATTAACGCCCTCTCCCACGCTCTCCCGAAGATCAAAGACGTCCGATTCTGTCAAGGAGGCGTACGCGAAGGATTCCTATTCGACAAACTGCCCCTTGCAATCCGTCTTCAGAATCCACTCGTCGTTGCGACGCTACCTTATAGTAAAGAATCGGCACCGATAATTAGCAACCTTTTCTCCCGCGCTCTGCCTGACCCCTCATCAAGCTCAACAACTGAAAAATTCACCCTTCCCCCACTCTTCAATGCCGAGTTCCTCTCCGCCATTGCAAATATGATGTACGCCCACTCCTCTTCGACCAAAGAATCCCGCTCCGCCGCAGCGTTACATTCCACATCAACGGGAATCCTCTGCGCTACGCACGGTTTATCTCATGTCAATCGTGCTGCTCTCGCCCTCGTCCTATATGACAGTTGCGCCGGTGATCTCTCAGAACAACACAAATCCTTCCTTCACCGTCTGCGCCGCATCGTTTCTATTCAGGAAGCCTGGTGGTGCCGGTATGTCGGACGCCTGGCTGCATTTGTTGGAAATATATATCCCGCTGGCACAATCCCCGGACGGCATCCACGGATCGACTTTGAAGTGCGTTGTGTGAAGACCGGTTTAGGGAAGAAGGGTAAACTTCCTGGGTTAGAATTGACCGTCAAGATTCCAAAGAGGAATAATGGCGGTGATGGTTGTAATGGGGATATTGAGGGTTCGTTTACGGATATGGAGTTTCTGAAGGAGTGTGTTAAGCGAATTGAGAAGATTGGGAAAAAGAAGCATTGGCTTGTGGAAGAGGAAGGGCGTAAATCCTGGGGTATTAAGATTGGTGTTAAGATTGTAGAAGAATTGTAAAAGTGTGCTCCACTGCGATATGTAGTGGACGTAATGTATCTTGGGACCAAGACTAATTTTTTCCTGTTTGCTGGGGCGCTGTTGGTACGCATTTCCATTTTATAGATTTCTCGAGACTTACAAGATAGATATTCCTTTGGTTTTGGATTGAATTAAACAGTATTTTTATTTCCTTTTGCAATTTTCTTTTTTACTCGAGAGGGGACCCGGAGAATATAAGTCCGCTGTAAAAACGTTGAAACAATAAAAGGGTGCGTCGATAATATGTAGCTGAAAATGGGGATTCGGTGTCACTAGTTAGTTAAACAGAGAAGTATCTGAATTTATCAGCAGAGGACAAAACACAAGAATGAAAGAAAAAAAACTTCCCAAGCAAACGGGAGCAAGGAAGAAAAGAAATTAACACCCTCATTGATAACTAAAAACATTCAAATTGAGAAAGGCAACGAAACTGAACAGACATCGACAAGTCCATGTCTAAGAGTGGATAGTCCGATAAAAGAAAACCGGGAACCGCCGAAAGGGAATGAAAAACAACTTATGAAGAGAAATGATTCTTCATTAAGGCACAAGATATCAAGCCGGAACCATAGGTTAACTACTAATCAGAGCTTTTTCTTCACAGATCCAGCATCGAGATTTACCCTTGTATAACACCGCCCGGAGTGGTCACTCGTGTCTGCCTCTGGACATGCGTATTTAATTGGACCCTTTGTATATTAACCATGAGAATTGATCTCCACCTCAACAGTCATGTCGGCATTCGGGTCGATTTCAATTTCAACCTTTGGCGCTGCCCCAAAACTCTCCCCATCACTGTTGTAACGGCAATAACGGCCGCCCCTACCATAATAGCCCTCTTTATCGGCATCATCCTTCTCGTGTCCGTCATCTTCGTAGCTCCTATTGTCGAGATATCGGCGATTCTCACCGCCATCAGCATCAGCATCAGCATCAGCATCAGCATGGGTCTCCCATGCATTTACTTCGTTTTCAGTATTCATGGCTTCCATTTGGAATTTCTGTGCGGCAGGAGTCAATCCAGTGGCAGCAAAGTCAGTCTGCAGAGATTTGTCAGTTGTCGCGGCATGTGCCACCCCTTTGCCCTTGGTTGGACCATCGTCTAAATCCAAAAGGCCGAGCTGGGTAGGCAGATAATCTTCGGCCACATCATTCTCGCCAATTTGGCCTTCGCTTCCCAGGGCTCCGTCATACTTAGGAAGAGTGCTACAATTGCCCCCTGGGACACAGGAGGGAACGCTTAGCTCGGCTACATCATCACCGTCCGTGGGTTCGAGCTTGTGCCATTTTTCCATGCATGTGGGACAGATACCTTTCATTTCATTGATGAGGGTAGAAGGCTTGACCAGACGGATATCAAAAGGACACCACCCCTCGAACTCGGTTCGAGCCTCTTTGCCGTCATGACCACACTCCCATCTATCCTTGGACGACATGTAAAACACTTTTCCATCGACTACGACCTCGTTTCTCGGCGCTGGATTGCTGGTAGGATCAAGGCATTTCGAGCACAAACCCCGATATTCATTGATAAAAGTGGAAAGCTCACCACTGTCACCAGATTCTTTCTCGATACTCGTTATGATTTCGGGACCCTCGTGGCCACACTCCCATACAACCTTGGACTTGTAGTACAGCTTTTCTTGATTTGTCACAACCGGAGCCATTAATTCTGGGTTCTTGGCTATGATAGTTTCATAGTCTTCCCATTCCGGGTTTGGCGCAGTGGCTCGCAGAGATGGGTCAGAAGCGATGGCAGTTTTGTTCTCTGCGAGGACGCCATCCGCTCCGGCGCCAGTGGCGGTTAGCTGGTGAGGGGTAGAGCTATCAATTGACGGACTAGCAGCAATCTCACCAGCTCCTGGAGGAGTATCCCGAACAATGGGAAGAGTAGAAGGTTGTTGGCTAGCCATAGTGAAAAGCCTGCAAAGCCTCAACGTAAATGTCAACAAAGATGGCCTGTGGATGATGGTATATGATTTGGTAGAAAGGAAACGAAAAGGAGAGACGAAGAAACGGGCTCGAGAACGGAAAGCAGTTCAAAAAGGGTGAAGTTGTAACTAGATGTTTAGAAGAGAAGTTCTGAGCAACAGGGATTTCAAGGGTATTTATAGAGTGGCCCATGGTGATAAAAGTGAATATTTTACTAGTTGATTATACTTACAATGTAGCTTTGAAATAAATTCACTCTAGAGGAACAAATCCTGAACAGAACCCTGAACTCTGATCTACAGCATAAACATCTTGAAGATGAGTGTATGTATAATCGTAGGTTGGGTTTAAACCTCTGATTTTATCCCGTCACCAATTAGCTACAGAGCACAACAGACGGGTGATCAATGGATTTGAAATACAGCACGCTATCGAGTATTTCAAGAACGGAGAAAGGTATCTTCACAATCATCGGAAGCAAGATGGAAATTTGGCAGCCTTGAATCAGTATTCTGAACAAGCAGGTAGATACTTTCCACGCAGGAATTGTAGATGAAGGACGACAATTATAGAAGCATAACGGAAAACAGAGGAGCAAGTTCCTTGATGCAAAGTGACCAGGGACACCCTCCCTCATTGCAATTCATGCAGTGGTTGATATGGCCATGTTCAGGCCATGTTCAGCTTCAATCGCCAACTTGTCCCGAGATTCACAATGACTCTGAGCCCTCAGGTCCATAGTAGTTTAGGTACCTAAGATCCGCGGTTGGGTACAAGTGAACGCTCCATTGTTGTGTTGCCGAACCGCGGAGACAGCAAACCTCCCGGTGGACTCGAGGTTAGACCCACAAAAATAAGAGTAGATCTCCAAATAAAACTTTGAATCAATAGATTATACTTTTCTCTACTGAATTAGGAAAAGAGTGAAATAAACTTCATGGCTCTAAAGTCGAACTTATTGTCAAAAAATAAAAACTAAGAAATAAAAGTCCCATATCTATCAAGAATAATATTTGTTAGATATCAGCCTTTAACAATGAAGCTATTCCAGAGCAGAGGCCTTATATGAAACCGGGCACTTATGAAACCGTCACTTACATGAAACCTTCTCCTCTTTACTCCTTTCCTTTTATCAGGAATAGGGTGATTCAGGCTCCCAGTATGTAAATGTGGTTCAACCTCTCATAAAACTTAAGTTAGGTGGGGGAAGAGACAAGCAACATGCAAATAACATACATTCTTTTCATAGTTATTATTAACTATCACCACATTTGTATTAAAACTATCTTCTCTTTTTCTTTCTTTTTTTTCCGCTTCTTTTCTCTTTCCCCCCCCCCCCCCCCCCTTTTCCTAAATTTAATCCCTGATCTGAAAGATCGGGTAGATGTCATAATCGCTGACTGCCATTACATATCTCCAATTGCAGAATAATAATAACCAAAATCAAGAACCTGGAGCATTCGGTGAAGTTAAATCCTGGAGTTGCAAAGAGACCAACCCCTGTTGACGCCTGATTATATAATAATGTGGCAAGTTGTCAAACTAACTAGTTAACGGCCGTTGTTGCTCTGTGAGCAAAACCTATATAAAGTGCCCGAACCCCGCAAAACCCCCTCACAATCCCACAACCATTCTAAAGGGTTTCCAATCATTGTTACTCTCTGGACAGCAGCGTGCGTCGCTACAATTCGCAATCCAATTGCCACGAAGCTGAATCGCGATTATCCTTTTTCTGGTCTGATTCTCAATTCATCATTACCCCAACTTGTGTTCTGCTGCTAACCCTCGTCAGTTATCAGTTCCGCGCAGACCGATACCATCCGGTACATCTCTCAAATAAGATGGAAGTCATGACTTCCCTGAAGCTGGAAACAATGTCCAATAATGATCAAGGTATCCCCAAACAGTGTCTCATTGTCGCATGAACCGGTGTTCAATCTCCTACCCAATCTCCGCCGACAACCGCATCCAACTCTTCTCACCCACCTGCGGGTGGGGAGAGATGCGGGCTTCTGCGGGAATGGCTCTGGGAGATTGTTCTGAAATTATACGGTTGGAACTTGATCTGGATAATACCAGCGAAAGGATCATGCAATCCCTCTTCTCCACTCCTGTCCCTCCCCCCCCCAAGAACCAAACTCCTAACCTGATATATAGTTACTACCTTAAAAATATGTCTCCTCCAGCTGCAACATCCGATGTAGTGGCGCATTCCGCCGCTGCTATCGCCAAAATTAACAAGGGACTCGCGATCAATAGAGACCCTACAGCTACCGGCACTATCCTAGATGAATTTGCCGGGAAATGGGACGAATTCAAGTTCGGCCCTATCCGCGAGAGCCAAGTCTCTCGCGCGATGACGCGCCGCTACTTCAAGGACTTGGATACTTACGCTGAAAGTGACATCGTCATCGTTGGTGCAGGATCCTGCGGCCTTAGCACCGCATATGTCTTGGGCAAGGCTCGCCCTGACTTGAAAATCGCCATTATCGAGGCTTCCGTCTCCCCTGGTTTGTAACTCATTGCCGCTACCCCCCCCCCCCCCCCAAAAAAAAAAAAAAAAAAAAAGCCCAGTCTCCACGTACATCACTCCACTAACCAACCACTAGGTGGTGGTGCATGGCTCGGCGGCCAGCTGTTCTCTGCCATGGTCCTCCGCAAACCGGCGGATCGCTTCCTCGATGACCTGGGAATTCCGTATGAGCAAGAGCCCTCCAACCCGAACCTGGTAGTGATCGAGCACGCCGCGCTCTTCACTTCAACCTTGCTCTCCAAAGTCCTCTCATTCCCGAACATCAAGCTGTTCAATGCCACCTGCGTTGAGGACCTAGTCACCCGCCCAGCACCACTGTCCGGTGACCCGGAGGGACTCCGCATTGCTGGCGTTGTGACCAACTGGACACTTGTGACTCTCCATCATGACGACCATTCATGCATGGACCCCAACACCATCAACGCGCCGGTGGTCATTAGTACTACCGGCCACGATGGACCGTTCGGTGCCTTCTGCGCTAAGCGTCTAGTATCCATGTCTGCGATTGAGAAACTCGGTGGCATGCGTGGGCTTGATATGAATTCGGCTGAAGAGGCGATCGTGAAAAATACCCGGGAGGTGGTAAAGGGATTGATAATTGGGGGTATGGAACTGAGTGAAATTGACGGGTGGCATCGGATGGGGCCGATTTTTTCGGCTATGATGCTTAGCGGGGTGCGAGCTGCGGAAGTTGCACTGGAGATTTTTGAGGAGAGGAAGAAGGAGTGTGCAGAGTAGCTCGCATATGGTGTCATTTGGGATCATTGCAGCGGGCAATTCAAAAATTGTTGTTTGCCGTTTGCATTTATCCAATGCTGTCACTTCCACCCATACGTCCATTAACACAGAGGACAGGTGTTCCAGGGAATACATATAACAATGTTAACTAGGCCAGAAAATTGTATCTGCCATTGCTAAAATTATGAAAGATGGACATCTAACGTACATGTATGTACATACAAATATATATGCATGGAACTAACTATTCACACGCCTGACTGTCTTGACCCGACGAGAACTGGGCAGAAACTTGATTTGTCCTGCAGACTTCATCGTAAAATAACGTCCCCTTTGCCGTTCGCCAGCATCGATGGAAAGCATCCTTACCTTTTTAACGCCTGCTCCACAGAAATCGATGTGTACATCACGAAACGAAAATATCAACACGTCAAAAAGAAAAACGTGAATAAAAGGAATGACAAATAAATGAGAAATCGTGAGATATTAAGACAAGTAAAGCCTAAAAAGAATTAAAAAGACAACAGGAAATGAATGCAAAATCCCATCGAGCACTCAACGATACCAACCCCGCGACGCAGATCTCGGTGACCTATGCTCCTCTTCAATGTCCAATCCTAAGCCCAACACGGTCCTCCTTGCATTGCGGATCTCCCACTCAAACTCTTTTAGCGATCGCAACTCACTGCTCACGAACAAACCTCCGATCAGCCCGTCAATGGTGCCCGCTACGAGGCTAAGCGAGCTGACAAGGCAGAGAATGAACGAGACAAATGCTCGAGTAGACCACCACACACCGACAAAGCAGGCGATGGACACGACGAGAGAGACAACGAAGTGACCGAGACGGGCACGTCGTTGGAAGCGCTCTCGTGCGACGTAGGTGGAAATCATTTGTAAAACTTGGTCGTACATATCTTCCGCCAGTGTAATTTGCTGTTGTTGGCTTGCTATTTCAGTATTCGTAGGAGAGGTGGCATTCGCAGCTGTTACAAGGGTGGTTGAACCCATGGGGGATATGGAACGTAGGGAACGGATGGATTCGATATGCTTCTGAATGGGGAGGAACGAGTTCTGTTCGTCTTCAGCGTCGGAGTCCTTTGATGTATCTAGTACTATCGTAGCTTCGACGGAGAAGTGGTCGCTCAATGAGCAATGGAGGGTTGGATGTCGTTCCATCATGCCTACCCTTGCGGAAGAAATGGTCCATTTCTTGGGGGAGGAAAAATGGCCGAATGCACCGTCCCCGACAAATATGTAGTCTAGACGTTTTGCAAGAGGGTCAGCGAGTTCGCCATCGACGACTATATTTCCTTCACGTTTGAGTCTATTCTGCTGTGTTTTATTCCAGCGCCAGGTATTGAAGATGCCATCGCATGTGGCGCCGTTTTCGAGTACGTTGAAATCGGCTGACGGTATTGGCTTTTTCCGTGCCATTTCAGCGGCGTCAATCGCTGCTCCAATAGATGAGTCTGGGTGGAGATGGCTCCACACATCCTTTACGGGTGCATGGGAAGTAATAAGCCGATGTGCAAGAGATTGCGGTAGCATATTGAAATCTCCCAAACCAATAACCAGATGGCCCTTTTCAGCAGCCGCCCGCATCATTTTCACGATTTCCCACGCTTGAGCAGTGCGGTGACATATATACGAGTCATGAGGTTCCCTTTCATACGGGGCATGAAGATGCGTACAGAAAACATCCGCAATGTCAGTAGATGCGGGCCCAATACGGATCCTGGCGCATGCAACCCCTTTTCCGACAAACCAATCCCCACGAAAGAAGGCTGTTGGGCGTCCATTCAACGGGTAGGCGAACATTGTGCTTTCTTCGATAGGCCATTTGGAGAGGATAGCGAGTCCTCCACCAAATATCCCGCTATAATAGAACTTCCCATAGGGGAGGATTTCTTGAGTCTCCCTCCGGATGTTGTTGTAGTCCTCTTGAGTCCAGCATTCTTGTAGGCCAACGATGTGCGGAGGATTATTGGAACCAGCGATTCGCTTCCCTATTTCCAGAAGGCGCTCATGGCGGTATTTTGAAAGAAATTTGAGACCCCAGCAGTTAAGGGTGAGGATACTGATTTTCTCGGGAAGCTCGTCGCTGTTCTGGGAGAGCATCGCGGGAATGATGCCGCCTAAAGAGTGAAATCTAGGGGGGAAGTGAAAAAAGAAGATAGACGGGAGGTAAACACAGAGCTTAGCGTTTGCAAACAAACAAACCGAATTGTTCTCTTTAATCTACTGCACCGTCGCGTCTTCACCCCGACTTCTAATAATGCAAAAAGCATTCAAGTCAGTTAGTCGTCACCAGAGTTGGAATTATGACGCTCAATTGGCAGTTCACACCGCCTTCTACACTGGGAGCGGTGATTGGTGGCAGAATGGCGTATATTTTGAATAGTCTTTTGGCATCGTCACTCTACTCAGTATTAAAAGGGACATTTTTTTCGAAATTTATTCAACTCTCGTTGTAGCCCGCACCCGCTGGGCCATCTGTGGAGGATTGACGGGTTATTCGAGGCCTATTTTCGCCATGGCAGATGAGAGCCAACCCTCCTCGAAGAAACGACGTTTAGACAACAGCTACACGCCGCGATCAGACACCGCCTCGTCCGACGAACTCGCGGGTAATTCCGATGTCGAACGTAGAAGAGAAAACTGGGTCGGGCACACTCCCGACGTTTACAGATCTCCCTTAGAACATCAACAAGGGGATTCTGTCAGTCTCAGTGGCAGCTGCAGTCAGTCAGGCAGTCCAGATGAGCTGGCGGAAGATGCCAGTTCATACTGGCAACGGAGAAGGTCCGGGATAAATAGCATGCCATCGTCACGAGAAAACACTCAACAAGAAAGCCTTCGTGAAGATGAATCAGAGGTAGCTATGTTTGAGCGTGAAACTCGGGAATGCGTAGATGAACGGCCGTCATCACAAACGCCAACTCCACTTTCGCAGGAGCCTCCACCCAAACCTGAACGATTATACTATAAAGAAAAGTTTATTCTACAAGGGCATCAACTGGGGGTGTCGGCCGTTAAGTTCTCTCCAGATGGGTCTATGATTGCTAGTTGCTGTAAGAATTAGTTTGGTTTCACTTTCCTTCGATCGTTATACCCTCGTGTCTAACGCTTTGGAACAGCTTCAGATGCTACAATAAAAATATGGGATACAACCACCGGACGGCTTATTCACACATTCGAAGGGCATTTGGCCGGTATTTCTACAATATCATGGAACCCGGATGGAGCTCTAATAGCCTCAGGATCTGATGACAAGTCCATTAGACTGTGGCATGTCCCAACGGTAAGTTTCCTTCCAAATTACATACTCTCAACAAGGGCCCACCACTGTTAATACTATCATACCGCAATGCACAGGGGAAACCCCACCCTAACCCATTCCTCGGCCACCACAACTACATATACTCCATTGCCTTCTCCCCGAAAGGAAATATGCTCGTCAGTGGCTCGTATGATGAAGCTGTGTATTTATGGGACGTCCGATCCGCACGAGTGATGCGCTCACTCCCTGCTCACTCGGACCCCGTTGCCGGTGTTGATGTTGTTCGCGATGGCACTCTCGTTGTTTCATGTGCCAGTGATGGCCTTATTCGTATATGGGACACTGCCACTGGACAATGTCTGCGGACACTTGTGCATGAAGACAATCCCCCTGTCTCAGCAGTGAAATTTTCACCAAATGGCAAGTATGTGCTAGCATGGACACACGACGACTGCGTTCGGTTATGGGATTATGTCGAAGGCCGATGTATCAAGACCTATCAGGGACATAAAAACAAAAAATACAGTCTTTCGGGTGCCTTCGGGGTATATGGTGCACCTGGGGGCGAAGTTTCAGCTTTTGCAGCGAGCGGGAGTGAAGATGGGGCAATTCTTTGTTGGGATGTGGTTAGTAAGAAGGTGTTGCAGAAGTTGGAGGGCCACTCTGACGTTGTTTTGGATGTCGACACGCACTGCTCCGGGGAAAATAGGCTAATGGTAAGCTGCGGTTTGGACCGGACGGTACGAGTCTGGGAAGAAGATCGATCTCCTTCAAAGCTGGAGGAGCAGGCAGAGACAAGGGATGAGTCGCTCGAAGACGAACCGTTGGTTCCGGAATATAATGCTCAAAATACCGTGGATTTTGGCGATGAAGGAGTGGATGTTGACGGCGACGCCTCAATGGGACCATGAATATTTTGCCGTTTTATAATTCCGGATACAATTCTGATCTGCCTAGCATGCTGCTAGCCATAGGATTAACGATAATTTGTTGCGCGCCGCAAGTCGATCATTTGACTATCATGGAGTCATACGTATTCACATAGGTACCTTCGACCCTAGCCCACTAAATGATGACAAAACGAGGTTGAACTCCAGGACAGGCGAAACCTTGGAAGGGCACGTCCGTGTACTTCATACTGTATGTACATGCTTCACATCACCCGCTATCCTGCGCCTGTCAACCTTGGAAGCATTATCTCGTTATCTCTTCAGCAAGTGCTCACTGTGTTAATTCACGATCAGAGCGCTGTGGGAACTTCAGCCTATCAGAATAATGAAAAGAAATAACATTAAGGATATCATTATGTAACTATACAAATAAAGAGCTGTGCAAAACAAGGAAAGCATGAACGTGAAATCATGTACTAAGAATTTGATCTAGCATTCCATCCACGCCGTCAATTGGGCCAAGATTTCGTTTCACTGTTTCCAACGCCGACATAGACGGCGATAGCCCATACTGTTTTCCAATAATCAGGCATTCTACAAGAGCTTTAAAGGCCCGTTTTTGAGCCGCTCCCTGTTGTTGCCGGGATATCAAGACACTCATTGTTTCTGGGATTCCCTTGCCGATCAACCATCGGTGGGCGCTGGGGTTGTTCTGACAGAGTATTAGACATGCTGCGGGAGGCATGTTGAGGAACCGGTCCTGTCCTTTCCCTCTTGAGTGCTGAGCAATATGCAGGATAGCAGAGAGGATGAGAAGCAATCTGCGAGCATCCTGACATTCGCTGATGGCACCCAGCTCATTGGCACATGCTTCGCTGGCATCATTGAACAGCTGTTCCTCATAGCTGCCACCGATATAGCGTTCAAAATATTCCGTGATGACCGTTGAAAAATACTCGATAGGTCGTGGATCCCTACTGGAAAAGATGCAATGTGCGTGCGGAAAAGGACTACCACCCGGTTCACCGTGTCTGCCCTCCTACCACTTCGAATGGAGGCATCAAAATCGATCAGGAACTCACGAACTCCATAGTCCAATGACTCCCCGGCGCCTCTGCGATAGGCGAGAGAGGCGAACTGCGCGAATGTCCTGGCTGAAATGTCCACCCCTTCTCTCCATCGGTGTTTAGCCGCTGCCAGCATGATGCTAGAGCCCACCAGGACACCAATTACCAATAGGGCTTCCAGATCTGCAGTGGAGACCACTTTAAACACCTGGACTGAGAGCCCCGTCATGGCCTCCAGCTTTCTGGGGTTCCCATCGTCAATCAGCTGGTTGCCAAACCCGATGAATGACTGCGCCCAGCTTCGCAATCTGGCCGTCTCATTATTCTTGACTAGGTCCTGCAACACCTCCCAGCGGCCAATCGACCAGTGTTTCACGTACAACGCAACCAATTTGAAGACAGGTCGGAACTGGAGGGAGAAGGTTAGAATCCTGAGTGTGATGTCAACTAATCTCGATTGATTCTCGTATCGCGCAGCAAAAAGCTGGTCTTGCAGATCCAGAAGCTGTTTCGAGCGCTCTTCCAGTGGATCCATAGGTCCTCTTAGGGAGGTGACTCCCGGGGGAGTGGGTAACCCATCCACCCGGGCTCCATGTTCGAGCAGCAGCTTAACAATATCTTTAGAATTGGCCTGGATGGCTCGAATCAAGGGCGTGTCGCCGTAGCTGGCTTTATCCTCAATCCGGGCGGACCAATCCAGCAGCAGGGACACGACCTCCTTGTGCTCTCCAGTGACTGCTATATGAAGTGCGGTCAATTTGTCCCGATCCTTAGCATTGATATTGGCACCGTGATCGAGCAACAACTCCACCACGTCTCGGTGGCCCCTGGTGGCGGCCCAGAAAAGGGGAGTCCGGCCATAACTATCCTTTCGTGAGGTATGACGGCGGAAGGGAATGCAATTGGAGGCATAATGCTCGAGTAACATCTTGGTCCAGGCCAGATTGCCAAAGTACGCAGCCAAATGCAACAGCGTGAACGAGGGAGGAGCTCCTCCATATTGCTCCCGATCCCAATAGAATTGCCACCAATCCTCCCGGATTGGAGACTCGGCTTGGAAAAACTGACGTGAAAACTCAGTCTGAGCCTCGACCGTGTCGAACGCGTGTCGGAAATGCTCTGGCCAGTATAAGCTGGCATACGTTAAGAGGGTATTATGGAGGGACGCGCTGCTGATACTGCCGGGAGATTTGTAACTCCCTTCGATGAGTGCCAGGCAGGTCCGCATGAGTGTCCGATGGGCGGTGTGGTTCATGTGGAAAATGTTAATCTCTTCTATATTGGCCTGCTCACTCTGAAAAGAACTCCCTAGCCGACTCATGGACAAGATTGACCACATCTCCATCGATTTTTATCAACATCCCACAAGATGAAAGCTGATCCTTTAGGATTTCGGCTGGTGTCAGGGCATCAGACCCCTTGATCTCCACCGCCACTGCCAGTTCGTCCAATGTCATGGGTCGGGCGGCGAGATCAACCCATTGGAGAATGGGTACCAGTTTTTCTTTGTCTTCGACTTGTCGAAGCAACCGCCGATAGATTCCACCAAGGCCATTGGGCACACCACGAAGAATGTCATTGATTTTGAGCCAACTCCTCCCCTTGAGCTCATCCGCAACAAACCCGACCCATAAGAAGGTTCCCTCGGCGCTGGCCATCAAGGCCTGCCGAACCTGCAGGAGCCTATCCTCTGAAAGGATTTGCTCGGATGCCAGTTCAGCAACTTTGGCCGAGATGTATTTTTCAACATCTTTCCGAACTTCCATATCCGAGTCTTCGAGTTTGATCCGACGGAATCGACGGAGTTTGCTCTCTAAAAGTCCTGGTTGGGGGCGGGAAAGAAGGATGATCTTCAGACATACCCTTGGTTTCTCTTCAGATTCCAAGAAATATTCTCCCAGGACGTCAAGGAGCTGCTTCAGGGTCTCGTCTTCACACTCATCCAGGCCGTCCAGCACACACATCACCTGGCAAGAGCTGCTCTGACGAAGCAGGATCAGGAAAAGCTTCCACAGGCAGATAAAGCTAGAAATCGTATATTTGGTCGTTTCAGACCCATCGAAGTAGTTCTGAATATGTTGCGCCAGGTGGGGATGGAAGCTGAGCCATTGGTGTATCACGCCTCTCATGATGGTCACTGCTGTGTTCCGGTTCTTGTCGCGGTTACTGCAGAAGTAATATAGGAGAACTCCTTGGGCAGAGTCCACCACTGGCTGGAACTCCTCGGTGATGTAAATGGCCAACATAGTTTTCCCTTTTCCAGAGCCCCCTGAGATCCAGAGGAGAGGTGGATCGGCACCTTCCAGCCACTCTTGAAAACTAGGATGCCGTATGAGCCATTCGCAGGTGCCGCCAACCCTCCGTCCTTTCAATGCGATGAGAGAACTTCGATCAACCTCGGGTCTGGTCAAGAGCAAAGCATCGAGAACGGGAGCGACCACCGAATCTGTGATGGATGCCAAATGAACTGGCTTTGGGACTGTGGGGATCAACGACAGGATCTCCTTCGCATAGGCAGCGGCGGCAGCGGCGGCGTAGCCTTGCCAGCGCTTATTCTTGTGCGAATCTGCATAATCACAGATTCCCCGGATAACCAGGCATTGGGCGATGTCCATCAAGCCGGCCGCCTCCATCTCGAAACAGAGGATCCCATACTTGCGCGCCAACTTGTCCCGTGTCGAGCCATGCCGCATCACCTGGTTGCCGGATGCAACCAGGCCATAATGGACTTTAGGGTTCTGGGTCCCTCGCGGAGGCCGGTGTCGCACTCTATTGGGGTCGCAATGATTGCACGCGCTATCTCCGGACTCGGTGATGTGGTCATAGTCCGACTCAAAGAGGACGTCTTGTTCCGGGCCTGGATGGGCAAAAATGAGGGTGTCCTTTTGCACAATCTTGGAGATGTAACGGGGTATTTGACTTTCGCCGAGAATATTATTCGTCTCGACCTTGCCTGCGGCCGTGAGGAGTAGGGTTGACGGTTTATTCAACACCCCCGTACTGGTAAACTGGTCTTCTGCGCATTTCTTTCCAAAATCGTACTGAATGATGCCCGGCCGGGCCGCCGTCGGCCTGCTCACAACAATATCTCCAAAACGAATATCTTCCTTGGTGCTCGGCACTCCTCCCCCGATGCCAACCATCAAGCTGAACCGGACAGACTTGAAGCTTGCGAGCATCTGAATAGCGACGGTAGCAGCCGAAGTGGTTCCATACACGCCGAAGGGCAGGCACGCGACTACGAGGTTATGGCCATTAAGACTTCCTAAAACATAAGCGTTGGTGTCGTTCGGATCAGCTGGTAAGTCGGGGTGAAGTGATCAAGCATGGCCTTCGCCGCCGCCATCTCTAAGGGAAGAGCGCAAATCCATCCAACCGTATATTCATCCCGAGAAACCATTTCTGAAGACGGCGCGCGTATAATGTCGAGTCACTGATGGACAGGGCATGAGTGGGGAGATCTGCGCGACAAGAGCATTTTTTGTGTTAAGTCAAGGAAAAGCAGGAGAGAAGAGGAGATGGGCGTCACATCGGGGTTATAGTATTGGAGGAAGCCTCTCAGGAACAGCGCCTAACCTAACAGTGCTTGGCGTCTCGGAGGTGGGGTTTAATTAACTATTTTTAGTTTTTGAGGAAAAGGCTGGCTCTCAGCTTTAACTATTATCTGTTCGCCCAAGTCCTCTCTCGGCTGTTATGGCTCACGGAAGAGGCGCGGGATGGGGAATTTAAGAGTCGAGAGGGCTGCGAATGTTAGAAGGCGGTAGCCAATGATTTTGCCCTCTCTCATGCAAGATTAAGGCTCTGTCACATCAGCTACCTGCATGTTGATCACACCCTGGTATGCGCGAAACGTACATTCTATCAGCTCCGGATATATATATTTCTTTCTTCATTCCTCCCCCCCCCCTCCTCTTCCTGCGCCCCCTAAAGAGATCACACCAAGATTCCAGACTCATTTTCTCTGACTATTGGCTTTATATCAGCGCCTGGCACCCGCCCGTAGCGACGGGAGCTGGGGTAACCCCGCTAAGGGCTCAGCCGTCAAACAACCAAAGACCAAATATCGCCTGCTAGTGGCAAGCGAGGTACCATCATGGTATGCGCATAACTCCTTCATCCGTACTGGCTATCGCCCGGTCAACGGGTCGGTCAGGCTCTGCGTCGATAGCTTGCGATTTATTCATAATGAGACTGTCAACATTTACTCTCACCTGATACCGGCCGGAATCGCCCTCGCCAGCAATGGCCTCCTCCACCTGTACTTCCGCGACCGCTACCCAACTGCATCCATGGTGGACCAACTGGCATTACACGTCTACTTGACTAGCTCGGTCGTTTGCTTCGGGATCCCATCCATCTATCACAGCCTTCTATGCCATTCGGAGCCTTGTTCAGGTCTCTGGGCCCGTTTGGATTATGTTGCCATCATTCTCCAGACTGTTGGGTCTTTCGTTTCAGGAATCTATGTCACATTCTACTGCGAGCCCGGCCTACAGAAGCTGTATTGGACTATGGTAGGTTGTCTTCCCTCCGTTTCTTTCTCAAGCTTAAGTCAACATCTCAATTAACAAGGATGGGATCCCCCGTTCGTAGACTGGTGCATTGGGGCTCCTGTCCAGTATTATCCTAGTTAGTCCCCAATTCCAGAGCATTCGATGGAGGTTGTTTCGGCTCTCCACGTTTGTTGCGACAGGCCTCTCGGGATTGTTGCCCATCATCCATGCTGCCTTCATTTATCCATTTGCACAGTTGAACCAGCAGGCGGGCTTGGGCTTCTACCTGGTCGAGGGTCTGGCACTTATTACCGGGGTGATTTTCTATGCGGTGAGTGAGCCAGTTGCACGCATCGGTGCGGCCGAAAGGAAGGCGATTTCGAACCGAGCTAATCACAGCCAAACGTAGACCCATTTCCCCAAGTCCTGGATGCCTGAGAAGTTCGATATCTGGGGAGCATCACACCAGATTTTTCACCTTTTCGTTGTGCTAAGTGCTGTGATCCATACCTGGGCGCTTCTCAGTGTATTTGATTGGATCTACAAAAACCCGCGGTGCTCAGTTTTAAGGTTTAGACATGAATAGACTACGCCGATTGCATAGCAGCACGTGGATATAGACCTCTCGCACAGCCTTTCGTTTCAGTTTCACTCCGTTTGTGGACTGTTTTCGTTTCCGCTTCCGTTTCACTTACTGGGCTAGTTGAATCTTATACAGCGTGCTACCTAAAGAGTTATTAGAAGGAACGGGAAGCCTGTGACACTACCTAGCACCTACCAATCACTTGGCCAATACTTAGACTCCTAGGCTTTTGCGTCGTATTTAGCGCAAGGATTAGTGGGCCGTCGATTTTTGAAATCCCTCATCTTGATGGTAGATGCACTATTCTAGGAGCACTTATCCCAGGCAGAACGTGTGGCAATAATAATAATTAAAGCTGTCCATGAACAAGCACCTAATAGCACTGAAGGTCCTTTAGTCCTGGACTTCAGTTGCGTATCTTTGCTTTGGGACTTTCTCAGCGGCTGGATTACGTAAGGATCGTACCAGCATCCTTTTGGGCGTGTCTTTTCGTTGGTTGCATTCCTTGTCCGTAGGGATCCTGTGGCTCACCGCCTTAGTCACCCCTTATTTGTCATACAGTCATCCACGTGATCAACAGACAGGCCTGAAATAAGCAAATTTGAAATCATAGCTATGTTGTTGTATGTGCCTTTTGACAATAATATCCCACAGCTTAAGCAGTGGAAAAAGTGGACCACTGAAAGGTGGATTGACTACGGAACTACGTAGTATGTTCCCGCAATATCACTCATTTTTATCTATAGTTCCACGTCTAATAGGAATTAATAAGAACAAAAATTTCCCAAGTGATCTAAATATCGCCCCTATATCCACCTGAAATAATCGGAAGGTAATAAATATCCCTCAATCTTTAGGCAGTGCTATAAGCACGGCCGACAGGAGACAACACCCCTCCCCTCACAAACGTATCCGTCTTGAAATAGGCATAGCGCTCGACGCCGGGATTGGCATCCAGCCATGGAAGCACATTCTGCAAAAAGGTGACCTGTGCTGCATCGTTCCCTCGTCCCGCGAACTCCGTAATCCAAATTTTGCCAATCCCATGCTTGCTAGCCAATGCGATCGCAGCATTGACGTGACTTTTAAAGCTCTCGACTCTTGTAGCATCGTCGTACCAGTGGATGGCAAGGAAGTCAACCTTGCATCTACCCGCACAAGCGTTGAGGAAGTTTTCCATCCAACCAAGGCCAAGTGAGCCGCCACCGTTCGTGACAGCTGGAGAACCGAGGCGGGCTCTGCCTGACAATGGGTTCATGTACTCCTGGTACGCTTTGGCGGCATCTTGGGGAGACATACTGGCCTGGCTGGGTATGTCAGGCTCGTTAAATGCGAGCAGGTGCCCGCTCCCGGAGGCAAGGGACGCCTGGGCGTCTCGGCTCCAGGTTCCGAAGGCCCTACGACCCCAAAGCATTGGGACGAACTCGGTACTGGGCGCACCACCCCCTCTGCCGGCCCAGTTATAGCACCAGGAGAACGGACCTCCGTTTTTGGTGAACGTGGCAAGGACGGCAGGGTCATTGTAGGCAAGACCACGTTTCCCTGGGAATGAACGAGTAGAAATATTATTAGAGTCGTCAGCGGGAAGGGAAGCAGCACTTGCTAGAAGCCCGCTGACAAAGAGATATTTGAATCCAGACACCATGATTGGATGTGGGAAAAGATAAGATCAATGTTGATGAAGCTAGCAGAGTTTTATCTGGCAGAGGCAACGGGAAAATTTGTCCATAGAAAGAGACTTATTACTAGGGGAACACTGCTACTATTTGTACTTGAGATAGGAGTCCGATAGGCGCTCTTCCAGCGAAGCCGCACAGATGGAAGCGAATTTTGCCATGGCGGGCCGTGAGTAAAAATGATAGAATTTCGAGCCAAATAACAAACGTCGCATTGAGGGAAAGTAAACGAAGTCATTTCGGTGTCGCATTTTATCAATTATCTGCTGTTGAACAGGTAAACGGGCTGGGAGATTGTGCAGTAACCCTATGTTTTGGACTTCCAATAAAAGGGGAGAAAAGGATAAAAGCTTCTGACAAATAACGACAGAACGCATAGATTTGAGAACGGAACCCCATCTCTCAATCCATTGGATCGCCCTGGAGAGTTCTTTGGAATTCCTGTTCTCGGCGCTCTCATGAACATTGGTGAGTAAAGTTAGTATGTCCCAACCCATTAGAATTATGGCCATGATTCACACATCAAAGCGTGGTTAAGAAGGCCGGGCAAGAGCAGCCCACATGAAAGTTACCAGGGCGCAATGCGGGTAGAAAATGCGGAGTAGACGATCTAACGCCTAACACAATGAATTTCGAACATCCATCAAATAGTAACAGCAAACAGGAATCCAATATTTAGTGCCTGTTGGCTCAAGTGCAACATTAGAAGCGAGCTAATCCAAATAAAGCATAGTGTCGACAACCTTATTTAAATGATTAGGGTTTCCACGTTTTGCCAAGATGCCAAGCAAAATGGCAGCCACTCGGTACGTCCATTAGATTAGAACACTTGGGAATGGCAAAGATTCGCACAAACCGCGGTTGATGACACATGAAGAGGTTTGAAGATAGAATATTAAGTAATCTGCGTTCCAAGTCCATTGAAATCCGTAATATCCATGTCCCTGTATATTCGTGAAGATCCATGGATAACCATAAAAAGTGTTACCTGGACAACTATATTGCCGAGCCGGGAGTTGCATCGGAATGTGCGCTAGAGACAAAAGTGGCCGCGACGTCATCATGCTGAGAAAAGAACACAGCTTGTATGTGCCGTCGGGCAACAGGTGTTCGGGATGCCTGAGATTTTGGTACTGGTGATCGGAACGTTCCTTCGGGCCGTCTGCGAATCTCCGTTTGCCGACAGCTATTTATTATGGTTTGTTGGAATTCGCTATTCATCCACTGGTTCCTGACCCCTATATAGGGGTTAAACTAGGGATGATGGTCATCATCATAGATCTCTAGGTGGGCAATCTTAACATCCCTTCATCAATCAGGCCTTGCATAAAAACGTCCCTTCACACTCAATGAGCGTCACATCTCAAATACACCCAGATGCATGACTTAACTGTTGTTCCATTTGAGCTCGGAGAAACCAGAGGATGTGACCCCAATAGCGGTATGAAGTGGCATTAGTAATTTATAAAGACCGTCTTAGACCAACTTCCTCAAATAATCCTAGCACGTAGCCTTGCATCTTAGGCGTCCCAAAAAGTCTCCAAACAAGGCCCAATTCAACCACCCATGGACGATGATCCTTATTTTCCCTTATGGCGTCTCCCTTCCAGCACCCTCATAACATCGCTGACACTATCTTTGTCGCCTCTTTTCTTCTTGGGCCCCCGTTTTCTTTTACTTCCTGGGCCGCGTCCTTCGCCTTCCCAAACTCCTTCTTCATCTTCGTCATCTCCAAATCGACTTCCACCAAACCCTAGATCCAAATCCATTGCATCTTCTCTATCTCGTTTCTTGGCCTCTTCGAGGAATTTCTTGCGTTTCAAAGCTGCTGCTTCATCTAGATCAGCTTCATCATCAAGAATGGATGAGGATGCCTGTCTAATCGCGGCTGCGTGCTTCAGGGCAGCAAGAATGGTTGGGTCACTTGAAAGTGATTTAGGACCATCAGAATTTTCTATATCATCCCGAGTGGAGGATGTATCAAAATAGTTCCGGGGTTTTGAAGGTTCCATGGGTGTTTGTAGCGACTCTGCGAGGGTGGTATCCCGTGAATCCAGATCTTGGGGAGGTGGGCCTCTCTCTTTTACTTCACCATCCGATTCGCCAGACGACGAAGACTCACTACCATCATCCTCTTCAACACCAGCAAGCGGGTTGTAGTCCCTCCCAACTCCTTGGAAGATATCATCATCCTCTTCCTCAGCAGCTGCAGCAGCAGCTGCACGGGCTCGTAACAGAACTTCAGCGGGGACATCCATGCCCAGAGGAGCGGCACCCTTGTCTACCGGCAAAAGCCCGCCATCTCCAATTTTCGGCGCCGGATCATCTGGCTTATCAAGCCATCGGACTTTCCTCTTTGTCTTTCCCTCTGCATCAGTAGCAAGTAGAACTTCCCTTCTTCTGCCCTGGGCATCTTTCTCAATCCATCGCTTTTTCTCCGGTTTGGCCCCAATCTTTTTAAACTTTTCGCCTAGCGTAGAAGCCGGAGGCTCAGAGATAGTATTCTGAGAACCAGTGGAAGCCCGACTAGCCTTTAGCTGCTTCAGAATCTCATCTCGAGTCATTCTCCGCGCAGCAGTTGGTGGTGGAGAAGCCATAGTCCCTTTCTTAGCTTTTTCAGTTCGTACCATAGGTTCATTGACCTGCTTCTCCTTCTGTTCAAGAACCATTTCAAACTCCGCATCCACATCCAGCACACTTTCCTTCTCTCGCTCCCCCTTTCCATCACCTTCATCAGCGCTAGGAGGAGGAGCAGTTATATCTTCCCCAGCTTTCACCCTCCGTAGTAATTCCCAATCCAACCCTTTAATCAAATGTGTGCTCTTGACGTCCCCCCCAACTCCAAACTCTGCCCTAAGTTTCTCAAACGTAATCTGGTCAATCTGGCCAAGTTTAACCATGTCTTCCAACGCCCGAACTCTGTTTTCCAGTTCATCACCTCTCTGAACCACTTCACCATTATCCTCCCTTTCATGACTCGCCCTCCGTTGAAGAGTCCGATCATGGTATCCTTCAGCTAATTTGGAGCCTTTGGGAGCAGCGGAAGATCTGAATTTCTTTGAAGCAGGAGGCTGTGATTCACGGCGTTGTTCAACTAATTGACGTGCAAAATCTACACCGGTGACGGAACGACTGTCCGAATAAGAAAAACGAGAGAATCAGTTGGTGAAATAAGTAGTTTAAATGGGAAGGAACACATGCTTACGGCGTCATGGGGATGCTGGATCTCATCTTCGATCCCAGGGCCAATGGTCTGGAGCGACTTGCGTCCCGGCTGAGTGGGGATCCCACTTTGTCAAGTGAAGAGTCATGGTTATTTTTCAGTTGGTTGTCGAAGAGGAGGCGGCGAAATTGCTCGTTGTTCATGGTTTCTGCTTGGTTTGGTAGAAACTGTTAGAACAGTAAATAATTTGCTCTTTAAGCGTATCTAGATAGGCCTCATCATTTTAAGGTTGTTTAGCAACTATGTCCGTTCAGTCGTAAGAACAGCTTCAGTGAGTTGTGTCTGGGGAGTATGCAGATTGAGAAGGACCTTGGAGTTTGTTTGCCACTTGCAGCTATGGCGCTAATGGCGCCAACAAATTAACTAGCATGATTCCCAACCCAGTCGGCACCAAACCAACTTACGATATAATCAAAAGAAATTCCAATTTAAAAAAAAAAAATAAAATGAAATAAAATAAACTATACTGGGATTAGGACATCATCTTCATGTATGTTCAATAGTTCCACGGTTATTACATCTTTGTTGAGCTCACAATTATAGCTGTAAAACAGAAAGTTCAGATTCATATAATTTATTAACCATACTTTCAACAGATGGATTGAGAGGAGCAATAAGGCTTTGAGTTTCTTCTTTTGTAAGACTTTCTTCATGTTGAACAAGTATTTTCTCTTCATCTTCATTTAATCAGTGTGAATTTGCATATAAGCTTGTACATAAAAAATAGTCAATTCAGTCAATTAATGAGAGTAAAGTGTAAAATATCGTATAGCTTTGCTGTTTTATGAATAGAGGTAATTTGTTATTTCTCAAAGCAGTAATTGCAAATTCAACATTTTCCTCCATTTCTATAGAGTTTCTTTCATTTTAAATGTGAATCTGTGGCATTCTGATGCATCAAAGCAGGTTGGTTGGTAATTTTATTACACATTTCAATATGATGACCGGCTCAGTTGGGAATTACAATGTATTCAACAACCAACAGGCTTAAATATTGAAAATATTAATAAATTAAGACTACTTAATACTTGAATACGTAGCTATTAATTTAAGGCAACTATGTATAGGATGTTCAATAGTCCCACAGCTTCTGGTGAAATAGAACACTCTCTTGACCCTTTACATCCAATAATTGTGATTCATTCACAATTCTCCTGGATAAATGTATACCTCCCACTGCACTCAGCTGCAGTAATGATTTTAAAGGTTATACAAAGCCTCATTGCAAAGTCAGTCGGTCTCATCAAAGTTTCAAATATCATTTTCATGAATCTTAAATTCTTGAATAGCTTCATGTACCATATCTCTAATCATTGTTCCATAATTTTTGGAATTTATAGGCAGCAATGGCCAACTGTATGTGAGATTCTTGAGATGAAGACATTTTGAAGAAAAAACACGAAGAAATGATGTGTTGACGATAGTTTGAGTTGAATATTTGATGATTTTCAGAAAGAATCCGCCGCTCGGTTGGTAAATTATCCGCCGTTCAGTGGTTGATTACGTTAACTAGCTAGTGTGTTTATATAATCAACATTACTACCTGGAGCTCAGCCGGGACTCACTTGGGAAGTTCTACAGAACAGGATAATTTTTTCGATAAATGCAGTCAATATTTTGAACAATTTTTTTCTTTAGGTGCAAATCAATGGCCATGCACGGAAATCAGGCGGGTGAAACCATGAGGAAGAAACTGAGCAAATAAATAAATGCCTAGTTCACTCAACTTAAATACACACGAAAACCCAAATCCCCACGCAGAAAAGATACGTTGCCCACATTTACGGAGAAGGGATTCAGAAAAAGCACATTTCAACAAACAAAAACTTTAACTCCTGAGTATTCAGCCCATCCCATGCCCAATAACCCCATACCCCAACCTCTTTGTCCCTATATACTTTCCCAGCCCCCATTGTTAATTTCCGCCTCCAACCTCCTACTAATAACTGCGGGTATTCCATGCGATAACCACGCGTCACGAAGAAGGCGGTCATATCGTTTTTGATTCAATATAAGACGCCTATGATGCCGGAAACCTGGATCAACTTCGCCATGGATGTCCAGATAAGGCGCATGATGCCAGCTGCCGTTCTTGTTATGAAGAAAGAGAACCATGCATTTGCGGATGTTAATGAATAAGCCGACGTTTCCACCGCATCTGTAATGGAGATAATCAGTATCACGGGCTTGGTTTTAAGATTACGTAAAATAATAGGTAACATACTCAGCAACGTGGCGATTGCAACCACCCAATTTCCGATCGCCCCCGCTTCGACAGCAAACCGCCTGGGAACAAAATATGTCGCCACAGAAGAGACAGATGCTGGGATCAGCAAGTTCCTTGCCGGTCGTCTTGCAGCGGCGTCTCGTTGCCTCATCCAACAGGGAGTCAAAGTATTTGGGAAGCCCCACCAGCTCAAAAATCGCCGGATGTGGGAGTGAAAGGGGCTCCAGTTGTTGCTGATATTGCTGCTGATGATCATCAACGTTTGTGCGTTCTTGTAGCCAGGAAATAAAATGCGAGATCCACCCAGTAACTAACAAGGCCATACTGTTGCTGCTCTCTGCAGCCACATTATTTATAAGAGACTCAAAAATGCTATCAATCGAAGGAAGATGAAGTAGAGTGGACAGGCGATCAATCTCGGCCAAATCACTATAATCCGACCCGGTATTCGGAAACTCCACCCCAAACCGAACATGTAGTAAAATAACAGTTTTGCGGAGGAAAGGGAGTGCATATTTGTCAACCATTCGTCGGAGGGTTTTTATCATGCTGTTTGAGAAAGTTTCGCTGTCGATGAAAAGAGAGGAGACACCTTCTTCGGGTAGCTGATTATTGGTAGACGAGGTCTTGTATGTGTTAATAAGCCAGTTGAATACATTCCTCATCAGAGACTCCCGGGGGTTTATGACACCATCATCCGTAGAAGAATCGGAATCGTGCTTTGATTCCAACTCAAGGAAACCCGTCGGATGAAGCATATATACCAGGGCCGTCTTAACAATTTCAGCGATGTAGCATAGGCGAACTACATGGATAATATCGAAGTTTAACGCGGGGACTATGGAGAGCGAACACTCAGCCAGGAACACAAAACTGTCCTGTCCAAGTAGCGGCTCGATGGACTTGTTATCGTAGGCTAGGTTGGACAGCCCAGAAAGTCCTGGATGCCCAACAAATAGCTGACAGAGTTTCCGACGATTCATATCTCTGAATTCATATCCGGTTTTATTCGTCGCGGTCGGATTCAGTCCTCCAATGGAGCAGTACGAAAAAGCCGTCTCGGATATCACTCGTAAATGTGTAAGGGTCATTTGTGGAACCTGTGCTAGTAGAGTGCTTCCGCCTTGGGATCCAACACCCCGTTGGGCGATTTCCACAGCCGCAATGGAAAACCCAAGGCTCCTAAGTAATACATCGGAGAAAATCAAGTCATCTGATATATTCCCTTGATACCCAAATTGCGAGTAGATCCCGTTAGAGCGAATACTCTCTCTTAGTCGTTTGTAGATAGTCACAAGCTCTGGCATAAGCGAGTAATTTGTATTTGAAGTAGGTTGTTGAGTAGTAGGAGGGCCCATCGCGGCAATTTCATCTGGTTGGGGGAATAATCCTGGCATTTGCATCCGGGCTGGTTGGGAGAAGGAAAGCAGTTCCGGGAGTGGCGGCGTAGTCAATTGGTCCACCTTGTTCGACAGGGGGGAGATGAAATTTTTAGATACGTAATCGACAAACAAGTCCTGGAACCCGGAAGTATACAGCTTATCACTTTCCATTATAAGAGCATGATTTCGGAATCTAGACACAGCGTAGACAAGCGTTTCATTGAAGAATTCATCGAACGATTCTGTTGTGCCCAAAGCACCAGGGTAGGACTCCTCCTTGCCCTTCCAGATGATTGGTAAGAAAGAGTTTCCTAGTGCTTTGCAAAGTGGACAAACGAACTCATTCAGAGACAAGCGCTCAGGGTGATTGCGAGCAACCTGGTGGTGATGTCTTCGCTGTGCGGCGTTGTAATAGTCCTCGAAACAATGGTAGTGCATAATATGCCCACAACCAGTCATTACAGGTCCTACCACTGCTCGTTTGGGATTGTAGCCCTTGCCCAACCCTTGCTTTTCCATAATGACTTCGCCGCCTGTAGAATCTAGACTTCGAACCATCTTGCGATTGTCCCCAGCAACACCAAATGGGCGAATGGCATCCGCCGAACGATCGAGACTAGATGGAGTCTTTAATACCTCCCCAACGTAGCTGGCGTCTTCCGTATCTGTTTGTCGAAGAATCTTGCTCTCTGTTATAAGCGCGAATGTGCCATAAATACGCGAATCATTGGTATCTTCCTGGCACAAAATACATCGATCCGAAGGATACTTCCAAAGCTTCTTTTCAGTCAAGCTGAGATGATTTGGCTCCCCAACCTCACTCATATCGTCATCCTCCTCTCCCCAGTCAATGTTACCTTGAGCATTCAAAAAGTTCTGCTGCTGCTGCTGGAACTGTGCCATTACTTTAGCCTGTCGATCAAGAGCCTGTTTCTTCTTAATCTCAAGTTCGCTCTCGGTCTTGGCAGCCGGGGAAGGAGCCTCGATATTGTCGTACGGGAATTCAAGAGTACTTGTCGCAGCAACATAAGCTTTCGGACGCATTTGCCACAATTTCTTCAAAATGTGTCTAATCTTTGGCCCACATGAGGAAAACTCTGGCACATTTGATATATTCTGAAGCAACCCGATAATGCTTATTTCTGCCATACGGGTAAGTTTAGTCCGGCATAAGGCATGATAGATAAATGATTGCGTGGAGTCAGGATGCTCGCCACTCTCATCCAGGTCATCTTCAGAGACATTATCTTCCATGGTTGCCAAGAGAATTAGGTGGAGTACCAGATGCAGGAATGTCTCAACCCTCGTCGTAGTGACGTTTGCAGTGACACTTTTAAATGTTAGACAATAATCTAGGCAGTGGTGAATAATTTGAGCAAACAATGTCGTCTGAGTAAAAGCAGTAAGTCTAACGAATGCCCCTGACTGTATCACACGCAGTTTCGGCTCAAAAACAATCTGCGATGCATCTTTACCGGTTTTCTTCGCCATCCACTGTTTGTACAGGTTCTCAGCCTCATCTCTCTGGTTCTTA